ATATGTTGTCAATATATCGATATTTATCGATTTTTTAATCAAAAATATTTTTTTTATATTTATTATTTTTATAATCTAAAATAAACTTTACCCAGAAAGGCCCCTTTGCGAATTTCAAGTCTATCTCCGCGACATGCCTAAATAACAGGTGTTGTATATCGATACTTATCGATTTTGTTGAATCTTAGTTAACAAGTTAACTTGATCTGTGTATGATATGCATGGACCTATATTCCATAATCTTCGAGATTGTGCTGCATTTACTAAAAATCTTTTTGCTCTAAATTTGAAGTCTATCTCTGCAATATGCTCGATATTTATCGATTTTTAATTATCGAAAAGGAGGAAGTTAACTTGATCTGCGTATGATATGAAACCATGAACCAAGATAAACTCAGCTTCCGATCAACAATTTATAAACACACGTACTTTATATAGTCAGAGATATTTGTCTATGCCCGTGACATACACTTGCTTTATACCCATATACCCTTTTATTAGCCAATTTCAATGGGCAGAGGGTATAAAAACAAGCAAGCAACTAGCAACATCACATGACATGCTGATGATGACGATGACGATGATGACGACAATGATGATGACGACGATGATGATGATGATGTGCAAGGAGGTCTCGAGACTTGCCAGCGGGTTTTTACTAGATCAGTGAGTGAGTGCGGGCGAGCGTAAGCCTTGCAAAAAATATAAAAAACGCACTCTCTATCTCTCTCCTTCTCCCTCTCTCTCTCGCTGGCTTATCGCGCTTATCATATCGCCAACTGTCAGCTCTCCCAACAAGCTCAGCGAAGCAAATCCCTGGAGTTAATAATAATATGCACACACACAATACACATAGAATATCTGTATGCCATATATGCATAAATATAATAGACTAAAAGTTAGTTCATGGGTGTATTAAGGTATACCTCATGGAAGACACCTGCCCAAGTTAACGACCAGGCGGAATATTTAGGTACAGCTTGTTTTAAGCACAGAAAAAGATTCAAGTAGTCTTAGAATAAGATTTAACTGTTAAGCTTAGACAAGAGTTTCTGATATCAAGACTTTTTCTTGTAAAAGGCTGATAACTAAATGTTTTGACATTTAATTAATCTTTTTTTAAATAAAAATATATTAATTTTATAGAGTTGCCTGTTCAAGATTTGAAGATTTGAATAAAAAATATCTTAATATTTTCAAAAATACTTAAATTTCCTTTAGACAATTCGCCGATTGCTTTTATCAGGGTTCTAAATATTTAGAAATTATATGATAATATGTTTTTAAAGGTGTAGATCACACTTAAAATAAGTCCTAATCAAATGCAGCTTAACTAGGACATGTCACATGAACTATTTTCGGTATTTCCAAGGCAATCAGAGGCGACTTCTTCATGACCAACCATTTAGCTGATCACAAAAATGATCACTAATCAAATTATATGCCAAATTAATTTTAAATGAGCACATAGAGAGAGAGAGAGAGGGGGGGGAGGTAAGGGAGCACGTGTCTGCCTGATGACAGACTTGCCCGTTGCTTGTGACGTAACAGGTACATTGTAAAGTTGCGACTAAGGCGATTCGGTATTTATCAGCTGCTCTTCGTGGATCGTTCGATTAGACATAACCCTGACCAAATGCGTTTTACGCCCTTCTTTGTTTTAGCAATACAATTGTTTTTTAGATATTTTTTTGCTTTCTGGCAACTCGAAACGTGGTCAGCGCAACTTTTCGCCGAGTTATCAGGCAGGCGAAGAGAGAGAGAGCAAAGATAAGATAAGCGAATGTCCAATTTGCGGATTACAACAACACGGCGATTTTGGACGTGCCGTGCGTTGGATTTGAAGATTTGTAATTTCATGCATACACAACCAGAAAAACACGATGACGGCCGACAAACAAAAACCAAGCAAAACATTAACTAAAATATATATGTATGTATGAATGTATTTAAAGCATACGCAGTGATTAAATTAAAGCATTGTATGTAAATTTGGTAATTTGTTGATAACAAAAAACAACAAGTAGTCAACGCTTAAACCAGTTCAAACTGTTTTTAATTTCGTTTCGAAAACATGAAAGCGCCCAAAAAATATATTTGCGACTTGAGATTCTTGAGTGCAAAACGCTTTGGGGGTTATGTAAGCAGCTGAGCAGAGCGAGATAGAGACACCGACGCAGACGCAGACGCAGACAGCGAAAGTCAACAGGCGACTGCGACGGCGACGCCGACTGCGAGGGCTGCCAACTTGATTAGTCACACATAGGCGCCGGACCCAAAAAAAAAAAAGCTCAGCGTCAACTCTTCGAAGGGCAAGAAAAAAATCACGCACACACACACACACACACAAAAAGGTCTGCCGACTGCTCAGTCAAAGTCTGCGCCGCGTGACAACGTCAGGCGTCGTTATTGTTTTTGTTGTTGCTGTTGTTGCTGTCGTCGTCTATCACGTTCATTGGCATTTCAAAGCAAGTTTGTTTGCATGCTGCGCCCGTTTGGGGGCGCTCTGTGGCATCGCCCCTCTCGCTAGAGCTCGCTGTCTGCTAACTGCTGCTGCTTCTGCTTGTTATTGTTTGATACAAACAAACACACATACATACATACATACATAAATACAAATAATGTTTGTGTGTTCCTTTTTTGCGCAACAAACGCCGCTGGCTGTTGGCTTTGCTGCGACTGCGCGACGGCCAAGACAAGAGCAGCATCAGCAGAGCAACAGATAGAGAGAGAGAGAGAGAGAGAGAGAGAGAGAGAGAGAGAGAGAGCGAGAGAGCAGACAGACGTCAACCGGTTTGCGATTTATTTTTGCCCTTGCTACCCGTTAAAGCCACCTATCCCTGCTGCTACATGGAGCCCCCCCTGCTGCCCCTGGTAACCCTTTTGCTCATTATTATTATTACATATTTGCTGAATATTTAACATTGAAGCTGGTGCGAATCGAAAGACGATTTGTTGCCTGCCGCAGGCGCAGTCAACACCAAGCAGCACAATGACAAGCAAAAGAAAAAAGCAAAAAACAATAAGAGCAACACAAATTGAGTGCGCTGTAAATAAGTATCGATAGCGATTACTTTGTTATCGAACTCTGATTCAAAAATAAACTGGGTATGCTGTCACTGTGCAGCAATTAGCTAATGAGAGAGCGGCACATGGAGTTGCATGCTGCTGCTCTCAATCTTGCGCTCTCCGCTTCTCTCTCCGTAGCTTACGCTATTTTGATCGATTTAGCTAATGAATGTGGTTCACAAATTGACATCTCAATTGTCGTCGCAATACTAAAAATAATCAACGTTCGTCATTGTTCTTGTTGTTTGCCAGCAAACAGACGTCAGCAGCAGAGACAACTTGTCGTCGTCGTCGCCGTCGTTGGCCGCTGCAGAGTGTCGCCTCGGCCACGGCCACAGCAGACGCGCTGGCTGCGCGCAACAAAAAAAGCTTTGGGCCAAACCAACAAAAAACACTCTGGTATTTATTGTAATCAAAAAAAAAAACGAACCAACAAAAAATCGAGTGCGCTGTTTAAGCATAAAATTAAGTAGTTTAAATAAATAAACACAACAACAACAACAAAAAAACGAACGTGGCCGGATCAACGGCAATCTTTTTTTTTTTACTTTTTTTTGGGGGGGTGCAGCATGCTACAGAGAGAGACAGAAAATTGCACTGGCATTTAAATATAAGAATACATTTCAAAAGCAAAAAAAAAAAAAAAACACAAAATTTATAATATTTGCATAATTTTAAATGCTGCGCATTTTTATGAGTGTCGCTCCGCAGCAAATGCTGTCTCTGTCGCTCTCAGCGTTTGACTAGCCTTTTGTATTTTTATGAGCTTTTAACGGGCGCGCAAGCGACGAAATGTCGTTAAAGAAGATCGAATTGAATGCGAATGCGAAATGTGAATGAGAATAAAAGAACAACAACAACAGCAGCAACAAGAAGAGCAGCAGCAACAGCAACAACAACAGCGACAACCAAATATGGCGCCGCCTCAGTCGCCGCTAGTGGGCGCTGCAGTAGCCGAAGGTGCGAAGCAAGCGACGGCGCTTTTCATTTCTGATTGGAAGCAAGCCGATTGAGGGCCACACAACACATAATTAGGGGGACAGGGAACAGCGGGCTGCCAACCTGGTTTTGAAACGCAGCAGATGCTTTAACGGTACTAGCCAAAAAGCTAAATAGCCTACTTATAAAAATATGAAATGCATGTGCGTGTGCGTGTGCGTGTGCTTAAGAAGCGTATCTTACGCATTTTAAAGAAATTAAAACTACTTTAAAAAAATACATAAACATGTATTCACATTAGTCTAACAAATAATTAGAAAGAAGGCAAAACTGGGCATGTGAACAAATGTTCGTAAATCAAGCGCAAGTTTTAAATCAAAATGAGTGAAAAGCTGCTTACAAATTAGAGTTGGTTTTTTATTTTAAATTACAAAATATTCATTTATATTAGGATTTTTGTAAGTCTTAAAAGTCATTTCATTTTAAACAATATATATATATAAATATATTTGGGCAAAAAGTTCTAATACTTTTTTTGATGGCGACAAATGACGAATTTGTCTATTTTTAAAATTGAACTAAAATTTTTCAAATCACGACTCAACGAAGAATAAGAAGAGCTTAAACAGAGATTGAACCCAGTCAAATTGAACTAGTTTTAATTAATTAACAAATGACGAATTCATCTATTTTTACAATTGAACTAGAATTTATCAAATTTAGACTCAACGAAGAATAAGTAAAGCTTAAGCAGAGATTGAACTCAGTCAAATTGAACTAGTTTTAATTTATCGAAACGTCACACTTTCGTGAACTACTTGAAATAAGAACTAGAGTTCGCTCACCAAAAACTTGTCAACTTGTAACTCAACGAAGAATAAGTAAAGCTTAAGCAGAGATTGAACTCAGTCAAAATGAACTAGTTTTAATTAATCGAAACACTATAACACACCGTTGTGAACTACTTGAAATAAGAACTAGAGTTCGCTCACCTTTCGTTTCTTGTGATCCAGTTCGCACTGCGCCTTGTGCATTTCCTTCAGTTCGACCTCCTTGAGCTGATCCAAAATGCGTTGATATTTCTCCCGGTTCTCCACATCGAGCGCCACGTGCAGATAGTCGTGCCAATTGCGTGAATCGAAGCCCCAATGGCAGGTGCGATTCTCCACCTTGCGATGAACGTGTCCCACGAATTTTTGGGGCGAGAACCAGCAATTGCATTCCAAGCACTGGATGCACGTCGGCTTCTGGTATGAGTACATGTCCGGCGTGCAGATGCCCTCGCATTTGCCAAAGCACTTGTGATACACCTGAAAGCTGAGCGCGCCCTTGCCCAGGCTCTCCACGGGCACATAGCTGTTCCGGTCGGAGCGATGCAGGAGGGCGGCGCAGAGGCGTTCCGCGTCGGTGCGCGTGATTAGGCCGCTGCCCTTCACGTCCGACGGCAGGATTTTGGCGGCCTTGAACTCGACCAGCTGTTCGGGCGTGCACTGCGAACAGGAGATGCCCAGATCCTCGAAAATGCCATTGATCTGATCCAGCGTAAAATCGTTGAGCACATTGTTGAGAAACTGCGGCAGGCACAGCCGCATCTCGCCGCCCAGCGAGAAGCAGCCAATCGTTTTGCCCTCCAGCCGCGTCTCGTACAGTTCGCCGCAGTCCGTGTCCGGCTGGGTTAGGATCGGCTGCGACAGTTCCGGCGGCAGAGGCAGCGGTGCTGCATATAACTGTGCACGTTCGCTGAGGGCAGCGGAACCAGCGACGCCGCTCGGTTCATGCAGTGGTTCATGTGGTTCCGGCGAGCTGGACAGTTCCTTTTTGATGAGCGCCACGGCGGGGCCCTGCAGGCTTTTGGTGGCGCTCGTCTGGTACTTTTTCAGCACGCTGCTGATCATCGGCGTCACGTATTCGGTCATGATATCGCTCAGTTATCGATAACACGCGCTCGATTGTTTTTCTTTTCCTTCGTTTCGTATTCTTATTCTTTTCTGCGTTTTTTTTTTGTTTTTTATTTTTTGTCCACGGCCAAAACGCTTTCACATTTTCGCTTGCTCAATTTATTTATTATTAATTTTTGTATTTTGTATGCATGTTAACAATTTGGCACTTTGTTTGATGATTTTTTTTTTGCGCGCATTTTTCATCTTATTTTATTTTGGGCGCTGCATTTGCCGACGGCGCTGCGTAGCGCTCGCTGCGCTGCGAGCTTTTTGTAGCATCTGTATGTGTATGTGTGTGTGTGTGTTTTAAAGGCGCGCGTGTTGCGCTCTGCCAGCGTCGACACTGACGTTGCTGCTGCTGCTGCCGCTGCTGCTGCAGGCGGCGTGCACAATTTTTAAATTTTGTCTTATTTATCTATTTTGCTTTTTTGTGCTAAATTTAAAACTTTGAGGCGACGTCGACTGCGGCTGTTGTTGCTGTTGTTGTTGTTGTGGTTGTGGCACTCACTTATTAAATTTTGCCATAAATTAATTTCCACTTCGTATGCTTAACATTTATCTGGGCGCGCTGCAAAAAAACCGCACGACGACGCGGCGCGACGCAACCGAGACGGATACAAAGATACAGACGCTGGCGTAGACGAGAAGACGCAGGCCGGCAGACACAGACACGGGTACAGGCACAGGCACAGACACTGGAACGGAACACACACCGGCCGCACACACATACACGACGACGCACAGACACGGGCACAGGCACTCACTAACACACACACATTGACAGCGACGTCGACGGCGACAGCAACTGGCAGGCGGCAGAGGCTAAAACGCCGCCGCCTGACAATTGTGAATGCGGCCGCTGCCGTTTGCCGCCTTGTTTGTGCACTATTTATAAACTTTATTTTATTTTATTTAATTTCTTATTTGATTTCTTCTTTATTTTTGCATGCTTAACGACCAGATTCGTTATTGAATATTTATTTAGGAATTTTGCTCTTTGCTCCTCTGCCACAAGAACAACAAACGCACACACTCACACGAATAAAAGCCTGCACTCTGCAGGCGCGCTCTCAAAATACACGGCGTTTTGTGTTTTCGTTTTGTTTCTTTGATTTTGATGTTGTTGTCGTTGTTGTTGCTGTTGCTGCTGTCGTTATTGTTGTTGTGCTTCTGTCGAACTTGCCGTTACGCGTTCGCACGTGCGAGCTTTCTGACGACCGCCACAAAACTGTTGAAAAATGTTCGCTGCGTAGCGGCAATTGCAAAGAGCGCTTCAAACGTATCTTTTTCGCGCGCTCTCACACACTCGCTCTCTCTTTAAACTTACAGATATAAAACAGACGAACGGTCTCTCTGGCAACAGCAGCAACCACCAAGTTTCTCTGCAGCACTTGGCCCTTCTCTTTTTTTTTTTGCTGTGCTTTTGGCGCCATGGCGAATATTAGAGAGAATTTAGAATTGCCAAAAACTCGTTTCAGGCAATTCAAAGCGATCGGCGAGTTAAATTATAAATATTAGCTATATAAAATTAAATACAACATTTTGCATATTGCGTTTTGTTACGTATAAGTGCTAATAAGAAAATAAATAACTTACTGTCTTATATAATCGAAGTTCCAAAAAGTTTTCGCAACTTTAAGTGCGACCCTCTTTAGGAGAGATATGTTGCTTTGCAACTTAGAATGTTGCCACTTGCTGCCATGTTGCAGCATCATGTGCCTACACACTAGTTCACGCAGGGTAGCTAGCGATAAGACGTTACAGCTGTCAGAGGAATCGATAACAAAGTTATCGTACGCAAAGTTGAGTCCGCCAAGCTGCCACCTTGTGGAAAACACAATTTTTGCAGTATAGCTGTGCTCTTCACACTTTACGAACAGCTGTTTGTTGTTTTTAGCTGCTGATTGGAATTGGGTAAAAATTTAAATTTTGCGCAAAAAGCATAAAATTGCACGATAAATCAAAAGAGAAACTTTATAATTGCAACCAATTGCTAATTTACAGTTAAGACAAGCTTAAAAATGCCGGAGCCGCGCAGCCCAATGGCCAGGTTTGTACAATCCGTACAGGATACAATTGATGGACCCATCACCTGGTTTCGTGGTAAGAAATGCGCCCAAAATATGAAACAAACTGCATTTAAAACGGATGCACTTCGCATGCAACAGCTAGCGCTGCGATTTCTGAGATGCACAACAAATTAAACGCAGTTTGTGAAATTACATAATGACATAACCTCAAATCTAAAAGCGGCTTTGTTTTTGTTTACATGATGGAACGCACACAGAATCGATTGTGGAACCGAATCAACAGAAATCGAATTGGTATCATCAGCGCTTCCGTCGCGTCCCGACCATCGATCAGTGCTACACAGACGATGCCGTCTGCCGTTTCGAGGCCGATCAGCAATTCCGGCGCGATCGCATGGTGGACAACGAGGTTGTGAACATCTTGCGGCAGCGCTTCGAGGATTGCACCCTGTACGAGGCGCCCGATCACATGGTCAAGTGCAAGCCACTCCTCGAGCAGTACGAAAAGGCTACCGAGAACTGGTTCATCAAGTGTACGGCTTCAGACAGCTCTCATAAAAGTACTTTCAATTTATATCAGATTTTCCATTTTTTACCCGACAGACGGCGACTTGGGCGGCTATGCCAATGCGAAGACCGCGTTCATGAAGCAGAAGCATCGCCTCATCTGGGAACGTCGTCACGGTCCAGTTGGCAGCGGCATGAAGGACGAGGATAATGTGGCCCATTGAAAAATACGCCGCCACAAATTGCAAAATACCATCAAATGTTCGAAGCCTGTGACGTGGATTTACATAAATATACACAAACTGTTGAAAATTTACGGCTATGCGTGCTTGAGTTTTACGAATTAGGACATCCTTTCTGTATTTAAACTAGTTGGGACTTATAATGTATAAAAAGTTACAAGCTAGCGTTTATTGCCGGGCTAGTCCCAGACATTTAAATTGTTTAGGCTTTTTTTTATCGTTGTAGAAGATATTGAAATCAGGAACAGTTCCTATAGAATTACTTAATCTTCGGTATCCCGAATCGTTCTTGCCATAAATAAAATTGCCTAAGACGATTTGAGACAACGAGATTTGTGGCTATGTTAATTGCAAATAAGTCAAATTAAAGTCTAGCAGCTAAGATTGTGCATATGTCAAGGGTTTGGACTTTGAGGCACCTGGGCGGCAGCCTCAAAATGGAAAGCCTTGTTTCAGTCGTTAGATAAAAAATTTGTTGCTAAAAGATCAGTCGAGCATTGTATTTAACTAGCTTATCGAGACGAGCGGCTTGTTCATGAGACTCTTCTTGAGCTTGGCCAGGGCGCTGCTGGTGCTGCCAGCGCCCGGCTTCTTGTCCTTGTTCTTGGGTCCCAGCGGTATCAGGCTGGTGTCGATGAGACGGCGCCGGAAGTTCTTGTAGAATTGCAGCACCTGTGGATTGGCCCACACCTGCTTGGCATCGAAGTCCAGAATGCGCACGGATTGCAGCGATTTGGCGCGCGACAGGGCCACATATGCCTGGCCAGCCTCGAACACCTTGGAGAGCGACATCTCAACGCAATCGAGTGTCAGTCCCTGGCTCTTGTGTATGGAGAAGGCCCAGGCCAGCTTGAGCGGCACCTGACGGCGCGTGAGCACGCCGCCCGTGGCCGTCTTAATGATCCACTTCTCGTGCCGGCACATGTACTCCTGATTGTTCTTGAAACGCACCACGGGCAGACCCTTCTCGATGCGCACGACGACACCGCGCGCACCGTTGACCAGGCCGTTGGCTATATTAATATTTTTGAGCAGCATTACCTGCGCATTGATCTTCAGATAGAGCTGTGCCGGCGCCTGGACTTGCTGGTCCAGCTGTTTGCTCAAGCCGGCATCCGAGTCCTCGGCACGGAACAGCACCTTATCGCCGCTCAAATGCTCCAGCTTCGATTCGTTGATTGAGTTGGCATCGTTCGTGTGCGAGCACAGCTGCGTAGCCAGAATGCCATTGCCTTCGATTTTCTGCTTTGAGGTGGACACCAGCCTGGCCGAGATGGTCTCGTTGACATGACCGATGCGCAAATGGTTGAGTATTTTAACAAACTCTGGATCGGATTGACGATGCACCTGCTTCAGCTCGTAGACGCACTGGACGCAGCCCTCCCAGGCGCTGGACTGAAAACAAAAGCGCTGCAAGGCCGTCTCGCCCTTGACGACGGGCGGCAGCTGCAGAAAATCGCCGCAGAGTATCAACTGGATGCCGCCAAATGGACGCTCGTTGCGGCGTATGTGACGCGCCACAGCCTCAATTTTCTGCAATAGTCAGAGATTAGCTGGATTGTCAGTTTCTGGAGCTTGAGCAACCCACCTCAAAATACTGCCCATCCACCATGGAGATCTCGTCTATGATCAGACGCTTGCATTTGCGCCAGGTCTGCGCGGCAGCGGGACGCGACGCTAGCTCCAGACAACGTTGAGCTGTAGCATCGCCGCCGCCAATGCCGGCAAAAGCGTGCAAGGTTGTGCCGCCAATAAGGCAGGCGGCCACGCCCGTGGATGCTGTGGCCACGGTGCCTTCCGGCGGCAGCGCCGAGATTATCTTGCGCAGCAGAAAACTCTTGCCCGTGCCGGCGGAGCCCGTGAAGAAGACATTCTTGCCGGCGATGCAGGCGCGCAGCACTTCCATTTGCTCCTCGCTCAAACGCAGCGAGTCCTCCGTTTGCGGGGCGGCCAGTGGCGATGCCTGGTACAGCTTTTTGGCAGCGGGCACGCTTTGGCTCTTGTCCTCGCCCGTCGCCTTTAGCTCCTCGAAGCGGCGCTTTTTGGCTGCCTGCGGCGAGGGCGTGGTCGTGCTGCCACGCGTTATGAGGCCCGCCTTTTTGCGCGCCAAAACCATTTCGGCGGTGGTCACCGGTGAGATCTCATCAAAGCTGCTGGGCCGTGAGCCCAGCATTTGCTCGCGCAGCTTCTTTTGCATGGCCGCCTCATCCAGTGCGCCGTCGTCGCCGCCATTCATTTTGATGAATATGGTGCGCAGGAAGAGCATCAAGGTGCCCGGCGGCGCATTGGACAGATACAGCGAGCACTGCTCCGCCTTGAAGTTGAACGTCGCCTTGCCCTCGGACATGAATTTCTTGTGCACCATTATGTCCTTCAGCTTGAATTTGAGCGGCTTTAGCTTCTCGGGCGTCACCTCCACGAAAATTTCGCGCAAATCGTTACGCACCAGACGCAGCGTTGCCGTCCTGTAGGCCAGCTTGCGCCCGGTTATGCCCACCGCGTTCGTCCAGTGTATGTTCACCGCGCACGTTAGCACGGCATCGTTAAGATCCATAGTTGTTTTAATTAATTTATTTAAAAATAATTTCTTCAGTCCCTGGGCAGCCAATGAGTGTGCACACCTCCCGCCAAAAAAAATAATTACCGATTGTGCGATCGATAAGCATGCCGTGCCACACTGTGTTTATCGATATTAAAACAGGGTTGTTTGTTTGTAACGCCAGGTGGCGCTAATCCACGCGCGCATTGCTCTTTTTAAATGTGAGCGGTTTGTGTTAATTAACTTTTTTATATATCGAGCAATGTCGTTTGGAGTATAGTTTAAAATATATGCGACTTTGAGCTTTCAATTGAGTTTAAATTTAAACGTAAAGTATAAATTTACAGTACTAGATGCTGCACACCTGTCTCCCCATTCATAACAAATCAAATTTGTACGCCAATTTCTTAATTTCATTCATATATATACGTTTCTTTTATACTACGGCGTAGTTAAGGAATGCATTTATCATTTACGACACGGTTAACGTTCAGTTAACTTCCTTATGTAAAGTGCTCAAGTGCTGGTTGGTTTATATTCAAGAAACTATTGCCAGATAACGCGACTGAACAGTGACTAACAGTTGCACAATGCAATATAAATGCAATGCAAAATAATAAAAGGCCTGTTAACTGATAAATAGTCAAAGAATAACTTAACTTAAAATACTAAGTCTCACTTTGCTCAATTAAGGAACTCTTGGATCAAACTCTTCAAATAAATGTTCTTCTTTTCTGTTGCACTCAGAATGAGCCAAGATTGTTCGAAAAGGAATCGAAAGCCTTAACAATAAAGAGGCCGGAATAACTATTTATTCCCGGGCCTCGTCATCGTCCATTGTATTATTCGCGTGAGGGCAATAAAACTGGCTATCCAATAAGTTCATGAAACTCGCGTGTTCTGAAAGTGAAAAAAAAAAAACAATAAAAGTTCATTGATCGTCGCGAAGGTTTCACAAGTTCCTTACAAACATTTCCATAGTTTACTTTTACTTCATTTTGCAGCAAAATTCCAATGCATTATTTATTGATTGTGTGCGAAAAGAAGCTGCCGAATGCAAAATAATCCAACTTTTTGTCGGGCAATTGAAATATTTTGGGATCGCATTTCGGAAATAATAAGACATCTTTACAGTTTCGACTTATCAGCTTGGCTATTGAACCTATTTTTCAAAGCTAGTCATGCGGCAGATTGTCTTCTGGGAACTGCAAATAAGAAAAGAAAAAAAACAACGCGCCTTGCAGTCTGAACCTCGATATAGGACGAGGGCGTATTTCTGAGCTCCCTGCTGATACGAGCTACTGATTTATAGGCCTAATATATATGGTCCTTTGTTGACGATATTCTATTTGGTTTATTTTGGGCAAGCAGTTTGTTTTTCATAATTCGAATAAACAAAGTCAACTGATTCGAATTTTATTTTGATTTTTAATTTTTTTTTGTTTTTTTCTTCTACTCAGCAGCGTTTCGGTTACGGGGCCGGCGTCATCTTAAATTAAATACATATTTACATTTGTTTTCAGGTTTCTAGACATAAACACACAAATATTTGTTTTTGGGTCATCGACGTTGACAAAAAAAGCAATATGCTATTTTCGATACCCTGTAAAAGTGTGACTACATTTGCGAGCAGACTGAAAGTTAAAAAAAAAAAGCCTCAAGAAAACTCTATCTATTATCTATTATCTCAAGATATGAGATCTCGAAATTATGCCACATGAAATTTGTATATCCCCTAAGATATATGAATAAAAGATTCGTATTGAAAAAGCGCACTTAAGCTACGATCATTTGTTTATTTTTTTTTAAATAACAAATGGCAAATCACATCATTATCTGCACAGACTAGTATAGAGGTAGAGGTATTGGGCATTGTTTACTTTAGAATGCTTATCAGCATTACATATGTATATGACAAATGTGAATGGAATGAATAGGCCGTATTTCGTCTGAATTGATAAGTTCGAGTGCACTCCAAATGATAGAAAAACTGAAATTCTTCCAAAATCTAAATCAAAACGAAATAAACCAATTTAAGAAGAAATGATTGAAAATTTAATTTCAAAAAGAGAGAGAGGGTATATAGAGTGCGTTGTGCCCGTTGTTGTCACTTGTTGATTAGCTCGTTTTTAAGGCATGCTGCTTAGGCGCCTCTCGGAGCCGGGCAGCGCAAGAGGCGAATCCATTCATGAGAAACTATCAGCACTTTGAATACAAATCGCTTAATTTAGATGCTAATATATAATATGTATACGCATAGACTTATAGATAGATTTTGTACTTTTAAAGAGCTGCTGCTGCAATGGCATCGTGCAATTTCGTCAGCCGTGCCGAATTTAACGAAATTCGAAAGAAAAAAAACACACACTTTTTTTTTTAAATGCGACGGGGTCTAGGGGTTGCCGCACAGATCTTACCTGTTTGCCATGCCGAAATTTTCCCCGAGACGCATTTTCTTGGCGCAGCTACTGCGCAGGTACAAACAAAAAGCGAAACTAAAACTCGAAACTGGTTTCCTTAGCCCAAAGGGGGGTTGATAAGCGAGCAGGAGAGCGAGCGAGAGAGCTATAAACGAAAAGAGAGCGTCAGAGAGCATGAAAATCTCGCATAGGCTTACACCCGCACGTAGGGCTGGCTAGCTGTTTATGCTACGTGCCGGATGACACGGCAAAGGGGGACGGGTGTGCTCTGTAATGCGGCTGTTTATCACCTCAATTAGCAGGGTCAGCACTTAGGCATATGTAGATATGGATAAATGTAGCTGCCCCAAATGGGGTTAATTGCACAGGTGCCAGGCGAAAGGCGCCAGTCGCCCGGGCTGGCCCAGATAGAAAACTTTCCTAGTGCCGACTATCTTTAGAGCGAGGCCAATGGGAAAGTGCGTTGCCACAGATCTGTTCGATTTGAACATAAATTAAAGCACGTGGCTTTCATATTAACCTTGCTGCTAAAGATAAACCGCCGGCGATCGTGGGTGGCAGCTATTGTCCCACATAAACTGAGCGGGGGGGGGGGGGGGGTGGGGAGGGGTGTTGGTGCTACACGTGGTGGCATTACAACCAACATCAGTTCGGGCTATGGCCAATGGCCAAAATAACAAACTACGTCGAATTACGTTGCCCACGTAATTGGCTGCTAAGCAGCATAATTTTTACAACCATTCCTCGCGAAGTGTCGTCAACAGCGCCCCCGCACGTTGTTATTGCGGCTCGTGCCGCACAATTTAATTGATATGCTGCCTGTCCATACGTCAGCCAATTGGACCGGCAACGTGTCTTTATGTTAATTACTTACTTGTGCGTTGTTTTTTGTTTTTCTATTAACTTTTCTTAACTACTAGAGCAGGTGAGTCATCAAAATGCAATCATGCGGCAATCGATGCGAGCGTTATCGATATTCGATATTCTGGTTCTTCTTGTTTGTGCGTTTTGTCTCCACATATTTCTACATAACTGTTTACCAATAAATACAAGCGGCAAAGATAAACAGATTAGAACCGGTCAACAACAGCCCGCGACCGATCAAGGCTGACGCCGTCCCAGACGCCCCAGCAAAACCGAAATGAATCGAACACTCTGGTCTGCATTGGCAAGATATAGAAGAAATAAAAAAACAACAGCAACAAATATATTGCACAGGAATAACAACAACCATATACTGCTAGTACTACGCAGAAATTTTGTAGAATACAAAACAAGCAAGAAGCAAAAACAAAAACATCAGCAGACGGCTACCCTGGTGTGAGCGTGAGAGCGCGCGAAGAGAGCATGTGTGTGCATGTGTGCATGTGTGTGTGCGTCTGTTTTGCTTGCACGCTTAACGGCGCGAAAGAGGAAGAGCCAGCGGTATAAATACTGCTCCCCACGGCTGTTGTGTGTCAATTGGACTCGCAGAGCGACCAAGTCAGCACACACAGCAGCAGCGGCAGCAGCTAAAATAAGCAATAGCCAAAACCAACAACGCAATTTCGCGAAAACAAACAAAAGTCGTTCGTTCGATTACGATTTACAAGTGCTCAAAAGTAACGGAAAGTTTCATAATCAAAAAGATGTCTGCATCTCCCACTGCTCGCCAAGCCTTCTCCCATGCACTGCCACTGGCCATGACGAAGACCAAGAAGGTTGTCATATCGGATCCCATCCAAATGCCGGAAGTGTACTCCTCCACGCCCGGCGGCACCCTCTTCTCCACCACACCTGGCGGTAAGTTGATGCAATATTTCGGTAACTGTGAATCAGCCGTGTGATAACAATCCTAGACTGAGACTCCGACTCAGTCTGGCCAGGCGCACATGTCCGTGACTCATGAATATTTCTATGGGCTCGTGCAGCTGTGTCTTATCACCTGTGCGGAGTCTGATGCAATTATCAATGAAATGTAGACTAATAATTGAATTGGGATTTTGTTTTTGCAGGCACCAAGGTGATCTATGAACGGGCCTTCATGAAGAATCTGCGTGGATCCCCGCTGAGCCAAACGCCGCCCAGCAATATACCCAGCTGCCTGCTGCGCGGCACGCCCCGCACCCCCTTCCGCAAGTGTGTGCCCGTGCCCACGGACTTGGTGAAGAAGACACAATCGCTGAAAATTGAGGAACAGGAGCAGTTCCAGCTGGAGCTGTAAATGCGCAACACACCAAGAACAATGCATCCCAATTCCAAGCAGCTACTGCCAAAACGCATAGACATCATCCAAAATGTTTTTATCATAAGATATCCATCTAGTTGTATTGTCACACCTGATACTGATCTTATAGTGCTAGCTCTCATATTTATGCCATCAAATTGTCCATGTAGCTCTTAAGTTGTTCGTTTAGTGTTCAGTCATATTGATTGAATTTGTGTTCTTAATTTAATTGATAAATTTTAGTTAGTAAGCAACTCATGCAATAAAAACTTATAAATAATTTTGAATTATTGAAATTGAACAACGGGTTTATTTGTATATTTTATCAGCTGCTGGACCTTGAGGCGCTGACTAACCAAGTTATCTATAAGCTTCTCGAGTGTGTATTTCCATTTTACCTTGATGGGAATATTCCATCTATATCAGCAAATGAGTATACATCTATGAATGTATATGTATTTATTTGGGGGGTTTATTGAACCGCTCCTCTGGAAATACCGGCCGGCATCGGCATCTGCCTGTCTGATCAAAAGAAATGCGTTTAGAAACTACTGCGCAGTTTGCACTCAGCTCTCTGGTCTCAGTCACATGTGAGACGGCCAAGAGACTGAAGACCAGATCTTAAAGCAACGATGACAACATATTCCTAGGAAACGGCAAATGCAGAAATTTATGCTTTATAAATGGTCTATCTCTTCCGAGAAGTGCCAAGCAATATCTGACTGAGACAATATAAGCTGCCAAATAACATATCTTTATATTATTTAGTTTAGTATTATAAAATCTATGAGATCGACAATAAGATCAGATGGATGGGTTGAAGCACAGGCTACTCTGTTAAAGGATTGAATATGCCTACTGCTAAATAATTGATGTATCTATATTTATGGGAAGAACTATGCTATGTATACCCTTGTCCCGAAATCTGAAACCCATTTAGGAAGGTATTCCCCTCCGGGTGATATAAGTAGATGGTGAGCTTAGTTAAAGTAGCCAAGTACATCTTTCTGTGTTTATGCAAAGTATTCTTTCAGTTTTAAGGTAACTTGGTATATATCCCTTTTTTTTTGTACATATGTATGTCGGCCGAATCGGACCACTATATCATAGACTCACTAAAAATATTGTTTAATTATGAAATTAATTTTTTTGCTTGTTTTTAAGATATCTTCAGCAAATTCTCGTCAATTCCGGAACACAATAATATATGTATATCGGTCAAAATGACATATATCTATAAATATATTGCTAACTAAAGTAGAGGAATTACTCAAATTGCCGCCATATATAACTGACCTAAATTTTCCAGTTCCTAGATAAAGTTAAGCCCGAGCTACTGATCCCAATTATAGATATATATCGAGGATTTTATTAACATATAAAATATATGAAATGAACTGAATTAGGCACATTTCTGTACGCAATAACTGCTTGATACGCAGCCGTTAATTATTCTTGCATAATTTAAATGCAAGAAATTGTAAACAAAAAACAGCTAATTCGAAAAATAACAATGCAGAATGCGTTCACAAGTTGTAAACAACGTTTTTGTGCAGGTAAGGCTGGTCACGAAAGGGTTAAGATGGTATCCGAGAGATATGTATAAGCGTCCCTTCCAACACAACCAAAACCGTTTAGTACCAATTCGAAAGAATTGGTAAACAAAAAAACAAAAACAAGCTACATATACATATATTGCAGGCAACAACAAGAAGAGAGCAAGCACAGGGAGAGTGCAAGAAAGAGCGGGAGAGAGAGAGAGAGAGCGAGAGAGATAGCGCAGTGCAGTGACGCGCTGCCGGAACGTGTGTTTCGGTTGCTTTGTTTACGTTCGACACGATTGAAAGAAGAAGAGCAAGCAGTATAAATACAGCTGTTAAATGCCGTTGAGTGTCAATTGGACTCGCAAAGCGAACCAAGCACGTTCGAAGGCGCGTCAGCAGCTGATAAGCAGAAGTCAAAGGCAGCGACAAATCAACAACGCAATTTCGCGCAAACAAACAAAAGTCGTTCGTTCGATTACGATTTACACGTGTTACAAAGTAACGGAAAGTTGCATAATCAAAAAGTAGAAGATGTCTGCATCTCCCACCGCTCGCCAAGCCTTCTCCCATGCGCTGCCCCTGGCCATGACGAAGACCAAGAAGGTTGTCATATCGGATCCCATCCAAATGCCGGAAGTGTACTCCTCCACGCCCGGCGGCACCCTCTTCTCCACCACACCTGGCGGTAAGTTGATGCAATATTTCGGTAACTGTGAATCAGCCGTGTGATAACAATCCTAGACTCCGACTCAGACTCAGTCTGGCCAGGCGCACATGTCCGTGACTCATGAATATTTCTATGGGCTCGTGCAGCTGTGTCTTATCACCTGTGCGGAGTCTGATGCAATTATCAATGAAATGTAGACTAATAATTGAATTGGGATTTTGTTTTTGCAGGCACCAAGGTGATCTATGAACGGGCCTTCATGAAGAATCTGCGTGGATCCCCGCTGAGCCAAACGCCGCCCAGCAATATACCCAGCTGCCTGCTGCGCGGCACGCCCCGCACCCCCTTCCGCAAGTGTGTGCCCGTGCCCACGGACTTGGTGAAGAAGACACAATCGCTGAAAATTGAGGAACAGGAGCAGTTCCAGCTGGAGCTGTAAATGCAATCCAATTCCAAGCAGCTACAGCCAAAACTCATGCATTCATTCTCCAAATGTTTTTAACATTAGCCATCAAATTAGTTTTAATATCACACCTGATACTGATCTTTTTAGTGTTAGCCCCCATTATTCCCACTAAATTGTTGATATAGCTTTAAGTTCTTAGTCAGATTTTCAGTCACATTGACTGAGTTGAGTTTCTTTCTATTTACCAATTTGTACAAATCTAATTCTTAAGCAACATGCAATAAACAGTAAATAATGCTAGAAAGTATTGAATTTAAATATACCAACGGATTTTGTTTATTTTATCAGCTGTTGAAAGCCTTGAAAGGCTTTCTAATGAACCGATTTAATCAATGATAACAATTCACCTTGGGCTGGTATAAGTATTAAATATTTGCTTGGGGTTTGTTGAACTGCCGAAAGAAAATACCGGCCGGCACATGTCTGCCGTGGCGTTGGCCATTATTAAAACTGTAAACAACAACAACTTGCGTGTTGGGCCTCTCAAACTATGCGCGTGGCAGCGGCTCATAACCTACATTCTGTCTATGCAAACATACATACATATATACATATACATGTGTACACCCACACAGACATACGCCAAGAACACACATTTAAGAGACCAGCAGCAGCCCGGCAAATACATAGATTTTTAAACAACTGCGCAGTTAGCGTGAATCGCCCCCTCAGCGTTCGTTCACAATGCGCATTTGCTAGCCGGCGGGCGGGCGCTTGGGATTCAAACCGCAAAACCAACGCCTTGAATATTGCGCATAATATATAATTCAAACTAAATGCGGTCAACTATTTGTGTATGTACATAAATATGTGCACATACAAATACATACACAAGTGTGTGCACATAAATATGTTCGCTTTATGTTTGGCGCAAACGTTTTTAACGTGTTTTTGTTGTTTCCGCATGCTATTTGTTTTGACTATGCAGCCCTGGCAGTTTAGCGCATTAAAACACAGCATACTTTTTAGCGCTGCATTTTAATATCAAATGCATTTCTTTGCAAGAAATTTGAAATTGTATTTAATATTATTCTCTTCACATAATGTAGAGTGTGAAAAATTAATAAATTTAGTTATTGCAGGCTAAACGAAAAGATCAGCGTCAGGGTTAACGCACTTTCTACGTGAGAAACCATAACGTAAGCAAATATATTAACTTATTTCTGCATGCAAGCTTGTGTGTATAAATATACTTTTTATACACATGTGTGTGTGTGTATGCACTAGTTTCTGCCAAAATAATAGAACATTTTGCATATAAGTCGCATAAATCATTGAATTAATGGCCGAATAATATTATCATGTCATATATTTATAACACACACATATTAGGCAAATTTAATAACCTGTTGATTTTCAACATGGGATTTTAAATGGGATTTGTTGAATTTGCTGCGAAAATAAATAATTTCCCAAATATTAAAGACGTTATATTTAGAAAATTAAAGTTCATAGGATTATATCGCACCATAACCTTAAATGGTTCTTAAAATAGAACAAGAACTTAAAAATGTTGTATAAATTTTGATAACGCATGGCCATAAGAATCACAGGCCAATAAAACGCGATAAAAAATGCAATTTGTGTTATATGACAGTTTGTGTTAGGCAGGTTGGTAACATTGTCAAAAAACACTTTCAATAGAATTTGTGGGACTTATGACAGTTTTACCTGTTCTCCACGGTAAAGAATTTCCTAAATCTAAAATTGTAATTCACTTGAATAGTCATGAAATTTTTGACAATTTTGAAAACAGGAAACATATATAAACATAAGTAACTCAAATTGATATATATATATTTTATGATAACATGCTAGGGAAATGTAATAAGGTGTTGCTACTCACCAAGGGACTTTTAACTGAAATTTCCTTAAAATACGCCAATTGGCACAATTGCCCAAAATGGTACCTTAAAATAAAGGTTTATTAATTTGTAATAACAGCAGAGCATGTATATGTATATATAGAAAAAAATAAATAACAATCTAATAAAATGATAATAGTAAATTTGTTCAGCCACAACATTACTATATAAATAGGTGAAACAAGACCAAAAGTTGCCAGCGGGCATTATCGAATCCGACGCCCATTGTTTAGCGTGATGGACAGCGAATTCCTTTGGACTATAATTCTGATGTTGGACCACGGCGTATCATGAGCTGATCTCGTGTTTGGTGCCAAATTGTTGTTGTCATTCGTTGGGCAGCACAGGGCGCGTGATTTCCAGCGTATTCCCTGACTTGGGGTCGCGTTACACACAGCTCAGCAGAAAGTCGGGGCGAGCGCTTCCATTGAAAGCAGCAACAGCCCCCCCCCCCCCCCCCCACTCATCCCTTGCACGAAAATCCAATAAGAACTGGCGTGTAAAATAAAGTATAGCAAATTAATATGTGCCCCCTTGTTGTTGTTGTTTTTTCTTCACCATCATCATCGCGTATATATGTATATATATAAATTTTCTTTTACTTATTGTTTCGTTTTATTTTCATTTTGTTATTTACGAACATTCTTATGTTTGTCGTTGTTGCTGTTTTAGACACAAAATACAAATGGATACATACATATGTTTTTTTCATTTCTCTTTAATATCTACTACAAAAAATTGGTTTCTGTTGTTGTTGTTGTTGTTTCTGTTTCTGTTGAACCGACTGTGGCAGGTTAATGCTTAATAACTACAACATATAGCATATACATATATATGCATATCTAAATATATATATTGTTTCATATAAAAAATACAACAAATTTGCAATTCGTTATCATCATATCATCGGCTCAGCACAGCGCCAAAAATGCAGCCCATTGGGATTATTATTTTCTTGTTTGTTTTTCTTTTCTTTTCGTTTTTTAACATTATGTTTTTCACATTCTTCAACTTTCTCGTCTAACATTTAAGTATGGCAAAAAGCAAAAAGAAATGCTAATAATAATATTAACTCGTACAAAAATTTAAAATACAAAGTTCGTTTGAAGTTGTTTAGTTTTTTTCTCTTATTCTTTTGTTTGTTTTGAAACGCATTTTTACACACTAAATGTTTAAAACTTATAAAATACTACAACGTAGGAGATCCGGACGAAATCTCATAGCATTAGAAAATAAAAAAAATATTTATATTATACATATATATATATATAGATAATTATGGTATAAACACATGAAATTATTGTATTACAAGTTAAATATATATTAAATTAAGAGTTACATATACATTATTACATATACAAAGTTTCTTTTAAAAAAATAATAATAATAATTATGGTGAGTGTTGCTGTTGTTGTTGTTGTGTGTGTTGGTTACATAAAACAAAATTGGCAACAGGAAGCGCGGCGATTAACAATTTCGGCCACACCGAAACCGAATGCCCTTTCCAAACAAAACTCTGAACTAAACGGGCTTAACTTTTGCTAACTTTCTTTTTTTTGTTCTTCTTCAATTAAACAAACACAAATTGCACAAAACTTATTTTAAATAAAGTTAGTAATTGTTTTTTTTTTGTTTTGGAAAGAGCATGTAAAAAACGCATAGCAGGTGGGTTAAATGTATGTTTATAGTTATATATATATATATATATATATGTGTGTGTGTGTGTGTGTGTGTATATATAAATTACGAACTGAAGCTTCTTTTTGTTTTTGCATATTGCAGCAGATTCCGTTGACGGGTTTTTCTTCTTTTAGCTCTTTTACCTTTTTTTCTTTTTTGTCTTTTTATGGAGCATTTTTTTTTTGTATGACCATGTTTTTTCTTTTTTAATTGTATAAATAACAAATGTAAAAAGTTTTTTTTCTTCTTTTGTTTCGTTTGCCGATTGCACTTTTTGTTTTTGTTGCTGTGTACGTGTGTGTGTGTGTGTGTGTGTGTGTGTGTGTGTGTGTGTGTTAAGGTATGCTGTCTATAGACTTAAAAAACGTGTAGAAAAACTAAACACAAAAATTAGATAATATATAGATGTATAAAGAACTCTAGATGTTTTACAAAAGAAATTATGTTCATGATATCAAGTAGCAACAGACAACTGATCACTTATCACTGATCACTGATCACTGATCACCGATCACCGATCACTGATCACTGATCACTGATCGGGTTAAACGTACGTATTTTATAAATTGTGCTTAAAAACTAATTCAAAATCAATAAAGACTCTTTTTAATAACAACAAATAATTTGGTGGTCGAATTGTTACTCTCTCAATTTATCGCTGCTGTATTATCAAAATCAGCCAAACGATCGACCCGATTTCATAAGAACTACATATATATATATATGTAATTATATATATATATATATATATATATATATTAGTGGTATATTTACAGTAAACACACGACAATGTTGTATTTAGTTTTTTTAAGCTGTTCAATTGGCAATTACTCGAAAACGCGCAGCGTGCGAGCTACACCGATTTAATAATATACATATATATATATATAAATATATAGATAAATATAGATCTATATGTATATACAGCTGATGTGGCTTAGACCACCTTCAATTTACATAGCACTTGGCTTGACCTTTTATCACTCGTATCAAGCGAAATGCATTGTTACAAAGAAAACAAACGAAAATATACACATATATATAGAGATATAGTTGGGCATGCCTGTATATATATATATACTTATATATATATGGATATATATGGATAATAGACAACATCAACATGGATCACCAAATTACTTGTTTCGCTTGCAGTTTGCCGACGCAGTTAAACTGCGGCCATCACACACACAAAATATTTTTTGTTTTTCTTCATATTAAATATTATCATAGTTAAGAGAGATAGATTTAAATGTGGGCGGACCAGGGCTACCTATGAGAGTTAGTAGCTCGGCCTTTCGATTGGACAGTTTAGCAGGGGGTTGGGGGAGGGAGGAGATTGTGTTCCAGGCATCGCCTATTGCGATGTGCTAAAATTTGATGGCGATATGGAAGCGGGCGGCGTTTCCGTTTCGCTGCTGAGCGACGCATCGACAGCGGCATCGTGGCCGCTGTGCTCCCTCGATCTGGTTGTGGGTATGGGCGCACTGCTCGCCGGCGGCGGCATCAATGTTGTCGTCTGCTGTTGTGCCAGACGCTCCTGTTCCTGCTCCAGCTCTAGCTCCTCCTGCAGCTGCTCTAATATGTGCTGTTTGTTTTGCGTCCAATAGAGGACCGGGATGCGCAAGACTGTCGTCAGCGTATCGTTGTGCTCCTCCAGCGAATTGGTGGCATAGTGCTCGACCAGTTTCTTGAGCGAGGGATATATGTTGTAGGGCGCCGCAAAGCCCAGGCCGCTTTCCGTCTCGTAGATGATGCAGTGATGGATGCCCGCCTTGCAGACAATCGACAGCGCATAGTGGCCCACGTCGCGGGCTCGTATCAGGAATGTGCCCGTCGGTGCACCCTTTAGCAGCTCCTCGGCATCGTGCCGTTTGGCATCCTTAATGAGCCACAGCGATTCGTTGCGATGCGGCTGATTCGAGGCCTTCTCATAGTTCTGCTGCAGCTCATCGAAGCCCATCTCCAGTAAAACGTTCAGATCGTCCTCGGTTAGACCAAAGCCTTTCAGACGCCTGCAAAGAGTTTACGGATATCTTTAGTCGGGCGAATCCAACAAAAAAAAAACGAATTATCGAACAAGGCCAACTGTCGTCGACGTCGACCAACTGCCCCCACAACGATTAATGTTTAAATGTGATATATATCAATTCTGGTTCTTATCAGCCTCTGTCCGAGGTCGCAGTTCCTTACAAAGACGTTGGCCAATTACCAGCCCAGCTTGTCTTTAGATAAGGAGAACTCGCCATTGTCCAGGTTCGATTTATGGCCGATTAGTAATTGTGTGCATTAAGTTTAATCACGAAATTCGCATTATATTAAATAGCCCACCCATTAGCAGATATATATATAATTATATATATATACATATATGTGGATCAATATCAAGAGTAGATATATAGTCGGCCTTTGCTCGGGCAGAAATGGATATTTTGCTCTGCTCAGCATTGAAATGTGTCGCACATTTGTTTGTGTTTCTTTATAATTTAATGAAAAACTAAAAATATATATATAAGTTAACCATAAATTTGGAACGCAAACAAAAACGAAATATTCCAAATCTTCTGCGAGTTGATTTTATAAATGGATTCTAGACAAAGACAATATATCACCCTGGTGTGGAATCTGCAGGATCACTCGCCCAAACAAAAATTAAGCTATATACTATATAGATACATATGTATATATATTTGGCGACCTCTCTCCGATGTCGCTTATCGGGCGAGCAGCCGGTTCGACCTAGACCTCAGCTCGTGACGCGGCGCATGACACGAGGAATTCGCAATAGTCAGAATATACCCGGCACAGTAAACGCGACTTGGCGCATGTATGCCAGCCAGCCAGAGATGGTTATGCCTAATCTTAATTAAAATAAAGACTTTAAACAGCAAAAAAAAGACGGAGAATACAATAAAAAAAGGTTTGCGAATATAGTATATAGAGAAACGTCAAGAAAAGAAAGAACAAAAAATTGTTAAGCACTTGGCAAACAAAAATGCTCGTCAGCCAGATAACGATAGTGCCTTATCTGGCCCCAGCCGAGCCGGAGGCACAATGCGCAACACGCCAATAGAAACACAGAAAGTCATATTCGCACAGCTCGGGCTGTCTCCCAAAGACAATCATCGATGACAAACTCTTAAAGGAGCAGACGAAGAAACTAACTAACGACCAACAAATACCCTGTACGCAGCGCAGAGCTGACTCTCTAGCTTCCTTTGATAACTTAAGCTAAAGCTAAAGCTCAGTTGATTAAGCAAATATAGAACACATTTTACGACAAATTTGTAATATCTTCTACAAGGGTATATAAGCTAGGGAAGACTAGAAAATACCCTACAACTAGCTGCCTTTTTAGCTTTCTTCTATATATACACGAAAACCTAAACTTGGAAGGTATTCAAAAAGTATTCTGAATCTAAGTATACTACACAAGATGCTAAACATCAGATTTGGTGTCTTAATCAACTCGTCTGTTGATCATATATATAGATATATATATCTTATCAGATTGGAGATGCCCCTCCTTCTATGCATTATTAACTTCGTGAGGTAAATGTAATAGCGTCTACAAGGATATATAAAACAAGGAAGACTTAAGCCAAGCGACGAGCTGCCTCTCTAGCTTCCTTTTATATACGAAAATAAAAAAAAAATGGTTATTTCTTATAACTTTAGGAGGCACGGGGAAAGTATTCTTTAAGTGTTTATACTACACAAGATGCTAAACATTTGATTTGGTTTGTTAATCAGCTCGCCTGTTGACGCTAATCAAGAATATATATACTTTAAGGGCTGGATTCACTTTCTTTTCCTTCTCAGTATATACTATACAAGATTCGAAGAATTTTTCCTGTCGATTTTTATCGATCTCATGGTTATCGAACGAGTTATCGAATAATTTACGCGTCCTACAGCAGGTCACACGTTCAAAAATGAGGACTCTAGCTCTTACAACAGATCTGGATCTTAATCAACTCGTCTGTTGAGGCTGATCAAGAATATATATGCTTCACCTTCCTTTCCCTTTGCACAAAAACCCCCCCCCAAATTTCAATGAGCTGAGGGTACAAAAAAAAGCTGTAAAAATGAAAGGGAAACCGATTGAACAAAATTCTAGTTGCCAGGGGCCCTTAAGATAAGTGAACTAGTCTGCGAGCATAAAATAAAAACCTGTAAGATTTTCGCAATAGATAAGAGACAAATGTGTTCTTGTACAGAAAAGATCTTAAAGCGCGAAAGAGCATAGATAAAAAAAAAGAAATTGTTATCTTTCGGTAGCCATAAATTGAATTCCCTGGCGGATATGCGATATTCTATATACACAACTCTATAGTCGGCCTTTTGTTCCCAGGGCTATATGGTAGACCGATATTTAACAAGATGTTGCCCACATGCTGAGAACATTGTGAGGCTCGTTAAAAACGAAAGCTAGACAAATAAAAACCCAATTTGAGCGATAACACAACACACAAAATAGCTTCAACCTATTTTCCCAAGCGTAGTGCTCCGATCTGACTGACTATTATATATATATATGTATATATAATAAGTCGAATCGAGATATTATGGAAAACGAAGCTCTGCATCCTGCTCAATAAAATATATACCCAACGGGTACTTCACACATTTTGTGACAAATATATATATGTATATATATATATTTAATTTCATTTGCAAGGCTAACAAAAAAAAAAGCTTGTGAGATTCCCAGGCAGATAAGCAACAGATGTTTAGTGAGGTCTGATAAACAGTCAAGTTTAGTTGGTATTTTTAGTGTGCACGACAGATTTAATAAAGATAAAAGCTAGCGTAGACAAACTGTTGCGAAAGTTAGTATGTGTGTGTGTGTGTGTGTGTGTGTGTGCTGTTAGGGCACAGTTCTAATATGGTTCAAGGCTTGGCTAATTAACGTTATCTTCATCATCATTATCATCATCGATGACGAATCTAAGGCATATCATTGGGTGTTATTAGCACAATGACATTAGCTGAAAGCGACAGCTAAAGCTCGAACTTAAGCTCAACTTAACTAAAGCACTCAATCACAAGCTTTAAAGCTTTCAATGTGCTTTTGCAAGAGCAACAACTATGGAACGACATTGATTTAAGCTTTATACATTATACTCGACCAAAAGCACTTAATCACAAACTTCGAAGCTTTCATGTGCTTTTGCAAGAGCAAACGACATTAGCTGAAAGCGACAGTTCAAGCTCGAACTTAAGCTTTAAGCCCTCCACATTAAGCTCGTGCAAAAGCACTTAATCAAAAGCTGCTTCAAAGCTTTCATGTGCTTTTGCTAGAGCAACAACTGTGGAACGACATTAGCTGAAAGCGACAGTTCAAGCTCGAACTTAAGCTTTACGCCCTCCACATTAAGCTCGTGCAACAGCGCTTAATCAAAAGCTACTTCAAAGCTTTCAATGTGCTTTTGCAAGAGCCACAACTATGAAACGATACAAAAACGAAACACAATGTTTTGACTGCCGTCTGACAGCACTTAAAATATTTATGATTTCTGAGCTAAAGCAGAAAATAAAATTTATGATTCTCAATAATTCACTTGGCATACATTTTGTAGTATTCCTGAAAACGTGTAAAACTGTCAACGGGGGCTTATGGAAATTTGTTTTGTTAGCGGATTTAAGTTACAAGCGGCAAACGAGAGGGATTTCAATTTATATATAAATGTATTTTATATATATGTATATATGCACATACAGTGAAAGCTCCTCTGGAGCGAACGTCTAAATTGAAATGTATTTTATGAATATATATATATATTTTTTTATATTTTTTCCTGCTTTAAAATGAAAATTGCTTCATTATTATCTTAATTTTAAACAGTTCCTATGAGTTTTAATGATAAACAAAAATGAACTTTTCTAAACTATTTCAATTTGATTCGAGATAGTTTTAAGAATCTTGCTGAGTTCCAGACATACTTTTTGCACAAAACAAAAGATTCTTTTTACAAAAAGTTGAGCGTCCATTGCGAAGGGAAACTTGGGAGGAAGCTTGGAACTACGAATTTCGGCCAGCTAAAGGAGAAGCTCGCCCAAGCTGGCTGTCCATTAAGGTGCCTTTCACTGTACTTGGATGGATATGCAATGCATTGTCTTGTTGCCTGCCTCAACGGGACGGTAAGCTTATCAGCCATTGTCATTGGCTTGGGGACGTGTTGTGCGGCTAAAGGAGGAAGGGGAGGGGAGAGGGGAGAGGGGGAGAACGCATCATCGAAAATGTTCAGGGTATTTATTACATGCGGGCAGCACGTAGCCCAGTCAGCGTGGCGAATTGCAAGCCGAAACCAGACGAGCGCTGCTAAAAGGCAAAAAGCGTTTTATTTCTATTATTATCGGTCAAACGGAAAGCGGTAGCAGCGGACGGGAGCAGCGGCAGCGACGGGAGCAGCGGCAGCTCAAGAAAGCAGCCAAATGGCCGAGAGTCGAGCGAGGCCCGCGTGTAAAATGAGCCAGAACCCAGAGCATTTAAATTCCTTGGTTGGCGAAATTGCATTGGACAATGTATAATGTATATATAATCGAGATATATATATGTATATATATGTGCAGCCGTTGAGCATGAAACGAACGAGTGGCTGACTCCCCCCGCTCCCGCTCCGGCCCCTGCCCCTCCACTCTAGCTGCGCTGCAGTGCAACCGTCGAGTTGTCTGTTGCGCTGACGCGTCGCTAATCAGTTTGGCACTCCAAAAGAAGCACATGTATATATATATATATGTATAGATATATAATATTAATAATGAATGACGTCAGTTATCGGCTGACTTTTCAGACACTTACTCAATGTGCTTGTCCTTGCGTAACTGCAATTCCTGTAGCTCCGGCTTGCTGGCATTGATCTGACGCTCCAGCAGTTGTTCCTCCTCTTTGCGCGCCTTAATGTCCTGATTGAGTCGCTCCATTTTGGCGTGCATCACCTTCAGATGCTCCTTCATGTGCATCAAATTCTCATGCATATGCTGTTGCACATCCTGCCGCGAACATGTGCCAACGCCGCCCGTTCCGGCTGCTGGACTCGAGCCGCTGCTTGCATTCACCGGCGGCTTGATCATATACGATTCAATTAACGCTATTTGCCGGAAGAACATGTTCTCCGCATTGCCAAAAACACGTTGCTGCAGCTTCCTTTCGGCCAGCTCCTCGCGTATGGCATTGAATGCGGTCTTCTTTTGGTCAAGCGCCTGTTCCTGTTGCAACAGCAACTGGGAGCAGCGGATGAATTGTTCGCTCAGCACACGTAAATCACCCTGCGGCTGTGCCTCATCATAGAAGGGGCAGACCATCGGATAGCTGAGCGTTATGTCCAGCGTTTTGTTGTACATCTTGAGGGAATTGGTCGTATAATGGTTTATCATGTCCACAACCGAACTGAATTGAAAGTTTTCGACAAAACCGTAATTGTCATTCATTTGGCAAATTTTGATTAGCTTCTCGTTGCCATCCTTCATCAGGGTCAATGTGTATTCGCCCTTCTGCAAGTTCAACAAATATTTACACATATATATATATATATATATACATATATATTTACATTATAATCAATTACCTTTGCCTGCGCATCTCGCACCAGAAAACTGCCGTCCGGTTGGCCAAACAATATGGATTTAGCCTGCTCGCGGGTTATGCTGCCCCAATACCAGGGGGCAGAGCGTAGCTCATCCTTTTTGCAATCTCGCACCATAGACGCCGGCGCCTGTGGCCTCATCGTTGAGTAGTGCAGCGGTGAGGGATGCACTGCGAATGGGGCGCACAAAAAATTGGGGTAGGGCGAAATAATATTTTAGTTTGTGCTGCTTAATACAACACATGTTTACACACTCATGCATATATATATATATATATGCAAGCATGTGTATATGTGTGTGTGCGTAGCGGCTTTTGCTTGTTGCCAAGCGCCCCCGAAACGCATTTGAAAAGCGAATACGTTAGGCAGTAGCCCTTTCCTATGTTGTATACTCACTTTTGAATTTGCGTTTGATTCCCACTGTTAATTGGAATTTTGGTAGCCACTTTTTGCCAAAAAAAAATTGTTTTTTTATTTTTGGTATATTTATATATGACTTATTTCACGCTTACAATTTAGCGAGCACCATCTTTCTATTCTCAATTTCGCGAATCGACTGAGAAACTCGCAGGCAAACACACACTTGTACACACACACACACACGCACGCACACAATCGAATTCACACATGCACACAATCATACATATAAACTATAGTTAAAACAATTAACAGCGTGCAGGAATCGGTAGTTAAAAAGGCCTTTAATTTACTTCTTGTTCGTTGCAATCAAATCGTTTTAAACGCGTTCGTTTACTTGTAGTTTCTTATTATTTATAATCAAATCACAATCAGCACACCATTTCTTTTTTTTTTGTGGAAGAAATCGTCCTCAACACTGCATTGGCACTGGCACGGAATAGCATGTTGCGGCCATTTTTCGCTTTTCAACACTTTTGGAGAAACGCACTAAAAAATGCCGCACAAATCGCAAAATGGGTGACCACATTTTATGCTTTGGTATTTCCCAGCCATATTTCGACTTTTTAACGGTCTAGCCGTAAAATATCGAGCCTCTTATAATGGAATACACAAGTGAAAGAATCTAAAGAATAATAAGGCGTGATTCTCCAGAGCTAAGTCTACTCCAAAACAAAAATTTTTAAAAAGATCTAAATTAGCTTGCAGAATCTCTATATATAGTTCTCCAAGCTAGACCGTTCTTAATCGATCCGTATAAAACAATTTGTAACACATTCTTACAAAAATTGAACAAATAAGTGGTTAGTACAATAACTAGTTTGGACATTCCCGTATTGTATAACGCCTATAATCAACATATTTACTCCAAATAAAAAAATTTGTTTGTGTTTAGTTTGAAAAAAATTGTTATTTACTTTGGAACGTACCATTTGTCTTTATGTATACTCTAATATAAGGTATAATGTTGTGGTATAGCTGTTTGAAATAGTGTGATTAAATCTCAAGAAGCTTTTGACAAATTAAAGAATTGAATGAGCAGATATTATAATATACAATTACCATTCTTTGACTTGTATTTATTTTACATTCAAAAAACTTATACTTTTAGAGCTAAGCTACAGCATATTATGTAGTATGAAATTAAAAACCAGGGCATCCCAGCGGCGTCTGCGTAAATAAACTAAGCAAACAGTGCAAAACAAATATTATTTGTATTTAGTTGGTTTTCAATCATTCATATTTCCTTTAGTGAATTTATAGTCATGTCAGCGTTGCGGTGATATCCAAGGTAGTTTCTCATTTAGAAATATTAAGGTTTAACATGGTATTTAGTTTTGTGGCAGCGCACCGCGACTAAGTAGTGCGTTCATTGTATATGCATATTGGTTGTATTATGTGTCTCCTGAATGTTAGCGATTTGTTTGGTTGTTGTTGTTTTTTCCAATTTTTTGTTTTTTAGGGTAACGCTAACTCTAATGTATCTGTATAATGCCCGATTCCAGCAGCTTCATTATCTTGTCGGCTATGGCTGGATTTTGTAAATGTCTTAAAAAGAGAGTATAGAAGGTTAGAAGTTAATATGAATCATTTTAAATGTTCGGTGCTTATATAACTTACTCTTTGACCGCATTTGGATCGTTTTGCATCTGTTCGAGAATCATGCGCATGGCCGGATCCTTAAGAATTTGCTGTATTTCCGGATCGGACATGGCGTTCTTGAGCACTTCTTTTGGATTACGTTGAAAGTTCATTGAACATTGGCGATATCCGTCAATGGCCTCGGCATTATTCGGATCCAATTCAAGCGCCTTCTGGTACGCCGTGGAGGCCTTTGAGGTTTGTTGCATGCCCTATAATAATTGACAAAGATTACCTAAGCTGTCATAAGTATATTTCCTGAATGAACTTGCCTGGAGAATCTTTCCCTTTCGTATGTAACCTTTGATGAATTTCTCGTCCAGCTTAATGCAAGTATCACAATCCTTCAGACCCAAATCAAAAGCGGCCAATTTTGTGTAACAGGCAGCCCGATTGCTGTACAATTTCGGATCATCGGGATTACGTTTAATGGCCTCCGAATAGTGTTTAACAGCATTGCTGTAGTCGCCCTTCTTGAAGTACTCATTGCCCTTTTCCTTTTCCTCCTCGGCCTTAACTGGATCAATGTAGGCGCGTCGCTCCTCCTCCTTGATTTTTGCCTCAACCTCGCTCAGCGAGGTTTTAATCTCCGGTGTGCGATGCTCAGACATGGCCTTTTCATAGTAGAATTTCGCTTGCTTATAGTTCTCCAGCTTGCGATAGGTGTTACCAATGCGAGCCAAGGATTTTGCGATTAGCTTAAAATCAGCACGATTCTCACGGCCCACCTCGATGCCCTTCTCGCACTGTTTAATGCACTCATCGTATTCCTTGCGCTCAAAAAACACGGCCGCAATATTATTATGAAACGTGATATCAGTCGGATCGTGCTCGATGGCAGCATTATAATGCTTAAGGGCAGTATCAAAATCTTTCTTCTTATAGGCCGCATTGCCCAGTTCCTTTTCCTGCTTGGCAAAGTACTTTTTGCGCTCCTCCTCGCTCATATCCTCCACCCGCGGCTCGGCCGGCTTTGGGGGTTCCGAGCTTTTGGACGGCGGCGCTTTTCTCTCAAATCTAGGGCTGCTCGACTGCGGATCAACGTCCATGGGTATGTCGCCCTGCGATTGCATCATGTTCAGCACTGATGCAGTTATTTCCTGACAGCCCTGCAATAGGATCGCATTTTGCGGATCGTACTTCAAGCCTGGAGGCGGAACACACACACACACACACACACACACGCACATTATTAGTGAGGTTATGTTGATGCGGGAAGGGTAGTAGAAGTGGTAATTATTTAAAACAACTTACCCTCATTATAGGCTTCCAGGGCCTTCATATAGTCACGCAGACCAGCGGCCGCAACACCCTTACGGGAATAGCCCTTCGGCCAGGTGGGATTCAGAGAGATGGTTTTCTCAGCATCTTCGAGGGCCTCCCTAAACTTGCCGGCCTTGGCAAAGGCCGCCGACCGATTACTGAAGAGCACATGATTTTTGGCGTCCAGCGCAATGGCTTCTGTATATGCAGCAATCGCCTCATCGAATTTCTCGGCATTGAGCGCCGTATTGCCCTTTTCCTTTAGTTCGTTCACCTGCAATGACGGTAGTGCAAACGTACTCAGATGAGATTGCTTTGTTCAGACCATTTTGATATTTGCCAACTGGTGTGTGCTACCCACCTTGTCCATTTTATACGATTTTGAACCTCGGCTTTACTGATTAAAGTCTTAGATGTTGCTAAAAACACGTCGTTACCACGCAAAGTTGTGAGCTGAAATTGCAAAAATGCCGCTGTCGGACTTTTCTAGAAATGCATGAGTCGTGCCTCGCTCAGTTCTCGTGCTCTCTCTCGCACTTGCTCTCGCATAGAAATGTCAGACGCGCAGCGTTGCCAACACGCTCTGCAATTAAAAGCGGGTTGCCAGACTGTAGGCAATAAAAACTTATAATACAAATTAATGAAAGTATGTTGGAAATGCTTGAAAATGTTCCATAACAAAAATAAAATCGGTTCAATAATTTTAATTAGGTTGCGTGTTGATTTTTGTTAAATTTACTATGTATCGGTCAAGTAAGTTGGCAGCGCTGAACAGCTTACTTGAATTTTTTCAAGCTGGCAACGTTGTCGCAAAATACGACAGACGCTGCTTTTTGCGTGCGGCTGGGAAAAATTAATATCAAAAATTTGTCAAAATATAGAGAAACAGCGTTTAAAAATTTCGCTGCAAACGGCACGAAGTGAAGATAATCGTTGTAAAAAGCAGCCCATTACAGCAGCAGCGTAATGGCCGAATATTTGGCATCTATTTTTGGCACAGAAAAGGACAAGTAAGTAAAAACCACCAAAAAAAGGCCGCATGTTCCTCCCTGTACTTTTCCGGCATGAAAACACTGTTATTGAAAAAGAAAAACCAATTGCTATTTGTAGAGTCAACTGCTCGTTTTACTTTAAAATCGGAGCGTGCCGGCATGGCGACCGCTGTTCACGCATACACAACAAGCCGACATTTTCGCAAACGGTGCTGCTGCAGAACCTGTACGTGAATCCCCAGAACTCGGCCAAATCGGCGGATGGCTCACATTTGGTTGCGAACGTCTCGGACGAGGAGATGCAGGAGCATTATGACAATTTCTTTGAGGATGTGTTCGTTGAGTGCGAGGACAAGTATGGAGAAATTGAGGAGATGAACGTGTGCGACAATTTGGGCGACCACCTAGTCGGCAATGTGTACATCAAATTCCGCAATGAGGCCGACGCCGAGAAGGCGGCAAATGATTTGAACAATCGCTGGTTTGGTGGACGTCCCGTCTATTCGGAACTGTCGCCGGTCACCGATTTCCGTGAGGCCTGCTGTAGACAGTACGAAATGGGTGAATGCACAAGATCCGGCTTTTGCAATTTCATGCATCTCAAGCCCATATCACGAGAGTTGCGGAGGTACCTATACTCGCGCCGGCGTCGCAATCGTTCGCGTTCACGTTCCCGCTCCGGTGGACCGCGACGTCGTTCACGCAGTCGTTCGCCGCGTCGTCGACGTGAGGAGCGCGGCATCGGTGGCGGCACAGATCGTGGTGGCGAGCGTGGCATTGTCGGTGGCACTGATCGTGGTGGCGAGCGTGGCATCGGCGGCGGCACCGATCGAGGAGATCGTAACGATCGTGATGGCAACGATCGTGATAGACGCAAAGGTGGTGGTGGTGGTGGTGGCGGGGGAGGAGGAGGCGGAGGAGGAGGAGGCGGCGGCGGTGGTGGTCGATATTAATGGTCCAAAATATGTTTGGACTTCGGACTACGAACTACTTTATTGGTGGCAATGTGAGAAAACGGACTAAAGGAACGCAGTATCGTCGTGTATTTCTCAACTCTTCACAGTCTACTTTTGTTTTTTTTATGATTTAGTATGGGGTGTCCCACCACATATGTACAAACCAGCCGTGACACGATGTGAATTATTTTATCGAGCGCCCATTAGAATTGTAATTACTTATACACACATTCGTAATAATAAAATTGAGTAATAATTATAAAGATATAGCGAAACAGAAAACGTCTTGTGCAAGTCACTTAGTAAATTAACTTTACGGACATATGTATTTAGTTGATTAATGAATAGATTTATAATGGTGTCTGGAGAACGACGGCGGGAAGAACTGCATCTATAGTAGTTACTGCTGCTGTCTTTTGCGATTCGTTTGGCCCGGCGTCTGCTTCGTCCTCGTTCGCTTCCGTCTCTATTTCCCGCGCTGATTTCAACTGTTTGGTCATGTCGATTTGTTGCTGCAGATTGTATCGGTTTTCGTGTTTGCGTCGCTGCTGTTGCTCCACATCACGCAGCACGCCCTGATGCAGCTTGTAACTGCAACGGAGTCTCGCGTAATGCTTGCTTTCATAGAAGAATGCGCCAGATAAGAATATACTTACCGGTCGTCCGACTGTTTATAGTGCACATAACCTATAATGGCGCTCGAAACGCAAACCGCCAAACTCAATGTGACCTTTGCTGCCAGCGACATGCTTTTGATTTAACTACCTAATTGCAAATTGTTGAATTTTGGTACAAAATGTGATTTAATACGAAGTTGGCTAAGTAATTGTTACGACATTACTTTATTGAAGTTCTACTGAGCTACCGAGAAAATTGATAGCAAAACAAAAGCCGCTACATTTGTTTTATTTTTCATTCGTTATTTTAACTATCGCTTTTATTTATTTAAGCACTTAGCGGTCAATTTGTATATCAGCAAACCATTTTTTTAATGTTTTCGCTAACAATTATTGCTAACTTTACTCAAAATGGCCGATAGACATAACAAAGCACCAGGGCCGCATAGCATAACAGCTGTTCGATAACAATGCGCGATAACGATAACGCAACAAGCGCGCTAATCAATCGATTTAAATGGACTTGTTTGAACAAGCTGCTATCTGTTGTGTAGTTTTAGTTATTATATATATATATATATGTATATAGACGCCTATCGCCGTGTTTGCTTGTCGAGATTACTTGACGCAGTTGCATAGTGTATGTTAGTCACTCAACTGTTGTGTTTGGCCAAACAAACACGTTGACCCGCTGCCACAGTAACGCCTGGGCACAATTGGGCCCGTGACCCAACGCAGCTGGAAATTCTGGACATGCGCATCAGAAGATGCACGCAATGCGAAGCAACAGCACAAGTACAACATACAAATGTGTCTGCTGTTTGTGTGCGTGTGTGTGTGCGTGTGTGTGCGTGTGTGTGTGTGAACGGAAAGTAAAAGCGACAAACAGCCAACGCGGCGTATGAGCAACATTTTTACACAGTCCGCCCGCCAGTTCGACTCCAGTTTTCCCATCGCTCAGTTGTGCGAGAGACACACAAAAATAAAAGCATAAATAAGAAATATAAAAAGAAAAAGTGAACTATATAAAAAAAAGGCAAGCAAATGTACGTGCGTCGTGTGTTAAAAAAGATTCGTTTAAATTTGATATAGATTTGCAACAAACAACAACTGGCCATAAAATCCATTAGCATATTGGCATATGTAAAATTATAAACATCGAAACCGGGCGACGCCAGGCTTCACTTCAATTTGTGGCCAGTTTTTTGAAAATTTCTAATTTTTACCCGACCAGGTTTTTCCCTTATTCTTTTCGTTTCGTTTTATTTGAATATTCATGTCAGTGTGGCGCAAATATTGATTTCAATTGCGTAGGCTTTGTGCGCTAAGACCTTTTGCTAGGTCTTCAGGCTTTGTGGCACCTTTTAGGGGCGGTTTTTACCTTTGAAAGTCTCTCGCTGGCTAACAAATTGAAGTTCTGCCTGGCTATTGCAGCTTAACCCCAGTAGAAGATGACCAAAGTGGAGCTATATAAATCGCGCGTCTTTGTGACAATCATACACCTGTGCGCGCTGGGCCAGTTCGCCTATGGCCTCTACTACGGCAGCTTCGAGGTGCAGCGCAGCTATAAGCTCAAGACGAGCTTCAGCCGGCGCCTGGTGCCCGAGACCTTTCCCCAGAAGCTGCGATTTCTCAGCTATTGGTCCTTGGTAAGTTGACAAGAGAAACATTTTCTTTCTTTCTTTCCTTCTTGACCGAAAATATAATATCATGAACATGAACATATATCATGGTCATTATAATATGACGGAAATGCGGCGTCCGCAATCGTTTCAAGTGTGTTCCAGATCCCGTCGAATAAAAAACAAGTAAAAGGCGCAGACTTAAGACTGATCGACTAGGAGATGCCCTGTAATGAACTGCTACTTTATGCAAATTGAATATAGGGCAAATTGCTTCAAATCGATATTTATCGATTACTTAAATGTGGTAGGCTTTATCGATAACTGTAATAAGGAGATGTAGGGGATACCCTGTATACAAATTGAAGGTCTCTAGCTCTTATTCCTGCTTAGGTATGTTAAAAGAAAAGCGTAGCTGAAAATCGATATTTATCGATTACTTAAATGTGACAGGCTTTATCGATAACTGTAGTAAGGAGATGTAGGAGATACCCTGTAATGTGCTCTTATTCCTATGTTATGTTATGTTAAAAGAAAAGCGTAGCTGAAAATCGATATTTATCGATTAATCTAATATGCTCGGATTTATCAATAACTGTTATAAAATTCATCTGCGCATTAAAGAAGACGACCCTAGACATACCATGCTTTACTTCTTCTGATTTTTTATTGGTTACAGGGTATATACACATTGAATTTTTTATTATTGTCTCCCATTAATGTCTGCCATATGTTTGTTTATTTGTTTGCTGCGTCGATTAAATATTTTATCGAGGGGTCAACAACTGTGCTCGCTGCATCCGTAAATGTCGTTCGGGTATCTTGCAGATACATTTTAAATTCCATTCATTCCATTAACAATTCATTTGTTGTCGCTGCAAAGTGTTACACACACACACACACACCCCCACCTACACACACACACGAGCACACCGGCAACCGCAAAATGCCACGTATAATTCGCAGTATTTATTTGCTCTGTGTGAAATTCTTTCCGAAAAGAAAAATATACACACACGCGAAAAACTCTTTTCGCTTTTATTGAATTGTAAAGCTGGCCACAAATCAAATTGGCCCAAAACAAAAGGCGTCCAGCGTCTTCGTGCCCGATTTTATTGGCGCTGACGGATGCCAGATTATCTTATTGGCGTGAATGTAAATATCCCATTTGGGGCATAGCCAGGGGGCGGGGGCGGGGGCGGTGGCTGTGGGCGGGGTTGCAACGGCCATGGCCGGCCAACTCATTTACATGTCGTAAAATATACTGGGTATTCGATCATCAATTGCATTTTCACAGGTACTTGGCAAGCAAAATGTCCAAATTAATCAAAAGGATAAGGTAATTTTTTTCATATGCATGAATCTACGATAAGGAATTAGTAATTGACTTGGATTTGATAATAAATACACGCAATTGTGATATATCTCTGTATTGATTGACTGACTGACTGACTGACTGCTTGATTGATTGATTGACTACTTGATTGACTGTCTGATTAATGATTGATTAATTGGCCATAAAATTGATCTCCAAAAAAGCGCCCACATCAATACAAAATACAATTTTATTATTCCCAGTACTAAAAAATAAATCTTTTTTGTTAAATAAGTAATTACGCGCATTACGAGATATGCCCAGATTTGAATGCAATATAATATAAAATTAGTGATGAGTTTTGATAAACTTATGAATGTTTGTAGTCTATTGGAAAAAAAAGTCCAATTGAAGAATTCATCTTGAGAACAAACCCCGATCAAAATGTTCTCAATCAGCTCAGTTTTGTATGAAAGAGATATTTGGGGATATTTACTAGGCAATTAATCGAAAGCACAATCCATGACCAAAATATCCTTTTCTATCAAAATCGTTTAAGTTTTGGATAAATTATGGAAGTTTGATGTTTAGTGAAGGCATTTACTAGGCACAGGGAATTGATCTAAGGGAAAAACCATGACCAAAGTATCCCTATCAAAATGTGTTCCCTTTTGAAAAAGTTATAAAAGTTTGACGTTTGGTTGGGATATTTATTAGGGACAGGGAATAATTCTGAAGCTTAATCATGCCCAAAATATCCTTTGTTATCCAGATTGTTTTAATTTTAGATAATATATGAAAGTATTTTGTTCAGTAGAGGCACTTACTATCATCACCAAAGTATTCCTATCAAAAGCTGTTCACTTTTGAAAAATATATAAAGGTTTGACGTTTGGTAGGGCAATTTTTTAAGGAACAGTGATCTGAGGAACAAACCATTACCAAAATATACTTTGTTATCCAAATCCTTTTTAGCTTTGGATAAGTTAAGGAAGTTTGAAGTAGGTGCATTTACATTGTGGATCGTGCGCTGGAAAAGTCCAAATGTTGCGATGTTTTCTATTAATTTGTGCATAAGGTAAACAAATGCTTCTTCTTGTTCGCTACTTGAGCTCGAGTATGCTTGAAATGAAAAAAGCACAGCAAAGTTTTTTTTTTTAACTCTTATCTCTGCACATTATTTGCCAGCCTTCGTTTACGTCCAAAACTTTGACGACCTTGCGCGCCCTTGATTTATATACCCAATAAATTCTTTGATCTTCGCAAAGGAAAAATAAGAGAAATAGTGCTTTATCGAGTTGGATTTTTCGATGTTATTTTGTTTTCACTTTTTAGCAAATGGCTTTCATGTGGAACTCATGCCGTGACCGGGTCATGCACACGCACCATATTACCATCCGGTTGTTTTTATCCGTCAAATCCGCGCGCCTCCGGACTCAATTGTTTATATATCGCCGCGAATCGAAATGAAAATAAACCCAAATTTGTTTCATTCTTTTTCGCCAAACAATTCGCATTGTAATACAGAAAGAAGCCTCAACTATGCCATGAGATTGAGATATTTGTATAAAGGCATATACATAAGTATGTGCATATATATGTGTATATTTGTCTGGATCGGAATATATATGGGCACACGTTCGTCTCCGATCGCTGATTTTGGGCAATTTATTACTCGAAAATTTATTGAGCCAAATCTAACAAATAGACTCGACGCGCCGAAGTGTGTCTGAACTAAACGAATTCCCTTTCCATTGGGTTCTTTTCTTCAAAATTTACAAAAATTTCCATTTTGCATTAATATGTATATAGTATAAATCCACAAACCTCTTAAATGTCAGCTATGTTTAAATTGTCTCGTTTTATGGAGACTGAAAACTAGCTGCGGTTCGGTGTACCTGGTTATCCACTTTATAATGCTTATATCTGGTTGCATCACATTTTCCCAACTTTACATTTTAGCATTGGGCACTATAAAGTTGAGGTTCGAAATTATCCTTTCTTTTTATTTCCCTTTCTAGTTGTCATTTTTTTGTTACATTATTTATGTACCTTTAAGAAAACCAAACAGAAATAAATAAATTTTTTTTTAATGTTATTTGCTGTTATAGAGCAATATAACCTATATATAACCTTTATATATATATATGTATATATATTTATATATATATTTTATATAAGGTCTATTTTTAGAAAGGGCATCAAAATTGTTCTAAAACATCGCATATTTTTAAAAGATTTTCAAGAATTCCAACACATAACTCAATTATATATGTGCAAAATTTATAGCTATAAAAGTTGCTCCCACGATTATAGTACTTATCACAGCTGAAATATTTCTTTTAATATGTTTACCATAAAATTTCAGTAGAGCCCAAAACAATTAAAAATTCCATTATACCCCAAGAAATTTTAGTTAATTTCCCCGAACTTGTTGAAATATTTGTTGGGAACTGTGTCTGTGCTCGTATGCCAGATTTTATGTGCTAGGCAAGATAATTATGTGAGGGTGTGAGGCTAGGGAACGCCCCCAAATTGAAGGGAATACTTTTTTAATGCGGGACAATTGTCGCCGGGTTTCAGTCTTCGGTTTAGTACATTGCGAACATGTTGCAGGCGCAGTTAATTATTGTGCTCGTGCTCGCCCTGCTCGCCTTGGAGGCGGACACGATGACGACCATCCGGTGGCACAGCTCTGGCGCCGCCTTTGATGATCCTGCCAGCTGGCTAAATGATTATGTGCCCAGTGCAAGCGATTTAATTGTATTTCCAGCATATTATCCGGCCGTATTGCCATTGCCGGCAAAGTTGTCCGTTGGCGGATTTGTGCTGCCGCGCCTGGGCGGCCTGCTGCTGGCCGATGACGCCAGCATTGAGCTGGCAGCTGGCCGGGATGAGAGACGCGCCCACCTGAGGCCGCCCAAGACGAGCAAATGGTTCGATCCCGCCAGCTGGAGCGTCTCCAACTCCGCCAGCTCCAGCTCCAGCTCCTCCGCCTCCGCCAGCGATATTTCCATTGTGCCGGAGCTGGAGCGCGTGCCCTGCGACGATGAGCACGTGGTCATTAGCAGCAATAGCGGCGCACTCTCCTTCGACTTGGAGCACGTGCAATATTTGCGCCTCGGTCAGCTCATCCTGGCCGGCTCCGCCATATCGCGCAGCTACCTGCAGGAGCTGCTCAGCCGTGATCTCGGCCAGCTGCTGTTCCACAATGCCCAGGCCGTCACCGTGGAGTATTATCGCGGCGAGCTCTGCGGCTGTCACAAGGATTACGAGCACCTGGTCGAGCCCGTCTGCCACAATGTGGAGCCCGGATGTCCCCTGCCCCGCTGCGTCGCCCCGCTGCGTCCGTATGGCGCCTGCTGCTTGGTCTGCGGCGCCATGATGCACATACCCAGCGAGCAGTGCACGGCGGAGGACCGTAAGACGCTGACCACGTTCATCGGGAAGGCAATCGAGCGGGCACAGCTGGAGGATGAGCTGCAGCTGCACGTGGATTACGTGGGATCTGAGGCATTTGGTAACTATCTGCAGGCGATTGTCGTGGATCGACGGGATTACGGCGAGCGCAGCGTGGACTTTATGCGCCGCCTGGCCGAGGAGCGTAATCAGAGCACGTGGCTGGCGCAGCAGTCCAGGCTGAGGATCTTCTATGCGGGTCGTCCGTACAATCCCAATGTTAGCTTTGCCTCCGTGCTCCTTATACTATTCTGCGTGCTGCTGGTGGGCGTGGTGTCGGTGATAATGCTCGCCCACTTTCTGCCGGAGAATCGGCATCTGAGCCGGATTCCCCAGTGGATACACGATCCGCGACGCTGGCGCTGGCATCATCTCGGCCTGCGTCTGCCTCCCACTTTCCTCTTCAATCGCTTCGATAATGCTGCAGGCGGAGCGGGAGCGGGCGGGGAGCGTCTGGCTGTCATTGGCTACGATGCGGAGAGCGGCGAGGTGCGCGAACGCGCCTTCAATAATCCCATGTTCGAGCAGCAGCCGGAGCAGGAGCAGGAACGGGAGCGGGAGCAGGCTGAAGCAAAGCCTCAAGCTGTGGAGACGGGCGAACTGGACAGCTGCAGCGTTGAGGAGCAGGAGCTGACCGAAATCAACTTGGAGTCCTCCGGGTCGGAGAGTGAAGCCGAGGCCGAAACCAAGGAGTGAAACACAAATAATTATACTAGCCTGGGATGGGCACCCAATTCCCCTTTCTATAACTTTCTTAAGGGGATAAAAGCAGTTCCCTAGGCAATTATTTTATTTTATTTATTCACATTACCCAATAATCGATCTATAATATATCCTTAATTAGCCTGGAACTAGAACCTAGCAATAAGCGGGAAATATCAAACCCAGTTTATGTTTCGTTAATATTTATAAGTTATCTATCAACTATCTGCCTGGAATTTGAACCCAGTTTCTGTTTCTATCGTTATCTTATCTTAAAATAAAAGCCATATCCGAGGTGAAATCTATCAAACAATTAATGTGCAAGGTTTTTATTTTATTCAAACGCATGGAATATCATTATTTCAAACCCGATAATTGCTTTTAATAATTAACAAACTTATATGCCAGTTATTATTTACATGGAGAAACTATAATTTATCAACTGGAAACTAGGTGGAAACTGACAATTTTTATTTTATAAGTACTTTTGCATTTATTTAGCCTTGAACCTATAAGCTCGCCATTTATCTTGACCTTATGAGACAGTCTCCACTCTATATCTGTCCAAGCCGTTAATATTTTATGAATTTTTTTAAATCGCATAAGCACGTAAGTGATGGCGACAAAAATAAACGAATCGATTATGGTTTAGATTAATAATGGATAGCGATTATATTTGTTGTGGTGCGTCACATTTGTGGGCTTGGCCCTTGACCTTCGTGCGGCTTTCCAAGGCGCTCGAAATTAAATCGATAGTTCGCATTAGTTCAGCGGCGTCAACAGATTCGAAAGCCTTTGTTCCGCCAGATACTTCTATACATAGCCGATACATACACCTACACACCCTTCCGCAACGGAAACATAACATACCTCCAATTGGATTACAGCTCGAGTGCTGTAACGGCTGTAGAGTTAGGTGAAAGTATTTTGATTTCCACTCAGATTCCGCTGCAGTGTCATGTTTTGCATTTCAGTGTATCGGCTGCAGGCGCTCAATCTCAATACGAATTTACTTTTGTCCGACTGATAAGCGGCGTTATCAGGCACATGCATACATACATTTGATGTACATATGTATAAAAATATATACTTAGATTGTCGCTCGCCCGCCGCTCACCAGCCGGCTAATCAGTTTGTTGTAGACTTTTGTGTGTTAAACATGGCAAGATCCAAGTCCAAGAACAAGGGCTCCACGTCCCCAGGCTTTAATCGTGTCGTGCAATTGGTTTTACACATTACGGCTGTCATTCAGTTCAACTATGGTGTCTACTTCTTTCACAATCTGGATATGCCCAGATCAGTATTCCATCCATTTGCTGGCAAATTCAAATTCTTGACATTTATCTGTGCGGTAAGCGAAACAAATACTTGTGCAGCCCTATCTCTTATCGATAACATGTTAATTTGCGCAGTCACGGCAGCTGTTAGCGTACAGTCAGATATGTTGAAAAAAATGTTAACGATTTCTTTCTGTTAGTGGCCGTTAATGTTTACATGTGTAGAATATTATTGTACGAAAAGCCGGCAATGCTCTGATTTGTTAAACATCTCGTGCGTTTAATGCAGCTTTGTCTCCCCAGAAGGTCCAACAGTAACTAGTTTTCAAAAGCGTTTAATTTAATTTATATTTAAATGCTTAAATAAGCTGCATTAAGCTGAATAGGTCTACAAACTTTCTACTTAACATTTTCCAATTTAAACTATGTTGAATATATGATAAGGACACTTGGATTATGAATAAGATCGAAACAACTAAATTCTTAATTTAAATAACAACTTACCGTTCATCTGTCACATTTAATTTGTCATGCTAGTGAAAATTTGTTTAAATTTATGCCGTCACGCCGCATTCAGTGTGGCCAAATACACAAAGTTAGGGCAAAAATCGATACATAATCCTTTGCTGAGTATCGATAACAGACAACTTACGCGCCACGGTCACACATAGGGGCAACTGTCTTCAGTGCAAGTTTTTTGCTGGCCGGCTGTTGTTCGTTGCCGTGAAAAAATCAATTAATTGTAATATAAAAAAAAAAAAATGGCCACAGCCGCTGCAACACATTCGTTATTTAAAAGTGTTTTTGGCGCCCTGCGTACGCTACTGCATTTAACGGCGGCAGTACAGTTTACGTACGGCATATATTATGATTATAAATACGTTGAATTTCCAACTCCGAGCGATCCCGATTCAAAATTAATCCATCATCCCTTTGGGGGAAAATTCAAATATCTTACTTTCTTGGATGCGGTAAGCGCTAGAGCACAATTTGCCTAAATGACAAATTACGTCTATTATCATTGTATTAGCTTAATCAAAGCCTAAGCACTTAACGATAACCGGTTTGGGCCTGTCACGCTTCACTGATTCAGTGGCTGCAATTTATTCCACTTCAATTATCAGCCCTCCAAACAGCCCAAACAACCCCCTTAGATATAATGTACACGCGTTCTTTTTAACCGCTTTTTTTTGATGTTTTCGTTATACTTTACTTACAGATAATACAGGCTGTGTATTACATTGTCTCCCTTGTGAATGACTTTGTGGGCACAAACGAGCTGGTGCCGAGGCGGCCGCCAGCAATACGCAAGTTCAAGGACTGGCTGATGTCCACACTGGCCTTCCCCGTGGCCCTGAATGTGGGTATTACCTTTTGGACGCTATATGCCATCGATCGTGAGCTAGTCTTTCCCAAAGTGCTCGATCCCGTCTTCCCCAGGTGAGGAGTTCAATAATAAGTTGCACTTTTACTATTGCTTACTAATTGTGATATATTTTGATTGCAGCTGGCTCAACCATGTCCTTCACACCAATATTGTTGTCTTCATTGTCCTAGAGATATTCACATCATATCGTGCCTATCCCACGCGCACCAAGGGCCTCACTGGCCTGGGCATTTTCATGGGCAGCTATCTGGTCTGGATACACATCATCAAGCACTATTCAAATGTCTGGGTGTATCCGGTACTGGAGGTGCTGCAGCTGCCGCAGCGCATTGTGTTCTTTGTGGCCGTGCTTGGTTTCACATTCGCTCTCTATCTGCTCGGCGAGTTCCTCAACAATGTTGTGTGGGCCAAGGAAGTGAAGCTGTCGCAGCGCAAGTCAAAGTAGGCTGTGTAGTCAATAGTCTGTGTGTGCTCGTCTGTTTAAATTAGCAATTATAAGAACAGCAGCAACAAAATTACTAACGATGAATTTCGCTTATATTTTACACGACTCTAAAACGTAATTATAAAGTTGATCTAATCTAATGTTACACCTAATAGCAATTGGCTTGAATAGCAATTAAAAATTTGTAGTACTTCAATTAGATTGCACTTGCACTTGCAATTGCAAACTCAAGTATGCGTTCTTTTTATTGTATTAGATGAGCATAATTAACGTTCAAGCATTTTTTCAATTGCATAATTCATATCAAGCAACAGCACAGCAACAACTTTAATACCTGCGTTAAACTGTAAATTTGAAGTCTAGAGTTATTAAAATAAAGAAAACTAAATTTAAATAACTAATAAGCAATGTTTTTTGTTTATTTTCTTTTTTAAACTTGGCGCCAACTGTCAGCTTTTGAAACTAGAGTAAATCAATTAGCCAATTCTAACTGTGCTGCAGCTGCACTCGGATGCTGTGTGGGTGGTCCGCCACACCCAATGGCAGCTCGAAAAGCTTCCAATGCAGCCCTGTTGCTAGACAAACAGCTGTCCGCATAACTGTTGTTTTTTTGTTCTCCCTTTTTGCACACTGTAATTACATATGGATGGGAAGCTGTTGTCGTTGCAGCCCGTCCACAACTTCAACTCGATACCTCAGCAGTTCTAGAAGTACCCCTATAAAGTAATTTCGGCAGCTTCTAACCTCTTTGAACTGCCCTCTTCCGCACCGGACGTTCATAGTTCATAGTTGCCCAGCCAAGTGCTACTTTTCTTGGGAAATGTTCTATTGTGTTCTTCTTTGTGTAACTTCATACCTGTTCTTAACCAAAAAGTAGAGAACGCCCCGTCGATCCGGTCTGGCTACCTGCTGTACAAGTTTCAACTCACGCAAGTCCAGAGGTCAGTTTAAAAATACGCAACGACCTCTGAGTTCTAAACGTCTCAGGTTTTTTTTTTTAGTTATATGGTTTCTTTGCTCTAACATTAGCTAGGACTTGCGACTTTTCATCTGAAACGGAAGTTTATATTTTGTATACATATTACATATAATAAGGCATTTCTTGCTGGTTATGATATTTTTATAACATTGCGGGGGGGTCCTAAAAATATAAATATCATATAAACATCATATGGCACACCTTCTATCTGGCTTTCTGTATATGGTTATGCTTTCAGTTTTTAAGTATTCTCGGCACAGCTGCTGCCTTATATACATACATATAAACAACGCAAAGCCATAATTATCAATGAGAAGAAGAACCTAGAAGAATAGTTTCTTGAATATCGAATAGTAAATACCCTTACGGAGTGTTATTTACTTCGTTACTTTGCAAATTGACTGAACAACTTTTTCTTAAAAAATGCAAATATTTATTGTTTATATACACTTTTCTTTAGTTTAGTTTTTATTTTTAGTTTAGTTTTTTTTTATAGCTAGTCAGCACCCAAAACGAATCTTAAAATCAGCTTATTAATTTCGAGTTTTCTTTATGCAACATGTTTAACCTGCAGATAAACTTAATGTTAAAGTAAATTGTGTTATAAAGGGCAAGTTAGCCTTCTAAGACTCGGGTTCGAGCCCGGCTTTGCGTTGTTCATTGTAATAATAATAGATTTGCATTTGTTTACTTTACTTTTAGACACAAGAAAATAGACGCTTAGCTATTAGGAAAAACTTCTCAAGTGTCCAAAGTAAACAGAATCCAAATGAGCTGCCATCCCCAACTGTATATTTCTTTCAATAATTTAACAATAAATTGTTTAGATTGGATTTAAAATCGATTTATTAGTTACAAAATGTTTAATTATAAGCATTTTAGGCACTTTGTAACACAATTCGTTCGTTTTCGTTGTGCATTGTTGCCCAAAAGGGCGACTTTTTGTACATTTAAAACAACATACATAGAGATATGTCTATATATATATATATATATATATATATGTGTATATAAAACTATAGAGCTACGATCTAGTTTAAGGAAACAGTCATTATACATAGACATATATATTCACACGAAAGGGACATAGATTCTAGTGTAAAAATGATTTTTGTAAACTTTTCAAAACTTAATTGCTATGAGTATTCGTAGTCGTAGTTTGTATTCGTTATCTAATCGTTTTGTGAGTTTCAAAATGGAAGATTGGTGTTTTAGAAACTTAAGTAAATGCATCGTTCCTTTTTGTATGGGCTGCTCCAGTTGCTCAGTTCTACTTGGAGGGCAGCAGCAGCATTTTCAGCTTATCGGATTCACTCATGAGCGTTGGCTCCTTGTGATGTCGCGGATGACCGAGCAGGGATTGCATCTCGGTGGCATCCTCGGATGTCAGTTCGTTGCGCTGTCGACTCGCCGCATTGAGCAGTCGCATGGCCTGCTGCAGCTCCTCGTTGCCATAGGTGGGCAGCGTATGGGTGGCTATATCATAGGGATTCGCTTGTATGCCCACGTCGCAGCTGGTTTTGCTATTCCGCGAATTGGGCTTGCCCGTGGACAGGCCCGAATTGTATGAACTGTGCAGCATACCGCCCAATTGTATGTCCAGCTCAACGGAGGAACAGCTCAGTGAGTCGCCATTCACGTCCAGTGCTGCCGCCAGTTGGCGCGCATAGTTGCGCTTAAAATCGCTATTTGAGTCCACATCCAGTTCCAGTTCCCGATCCCGATCAGCGCTTTTGTGACCATGATGCGACTTGGTCTGCTCCTTGCGTGACTTGCGACTGCGTTGGGAGTTGCGCGAGTGTCGATTCCCATTGCAATTCGATTCGCTGGACTTTTGCATGTGCTTCAGGAAATGCTCCAAAGCAGCTGCCTTGGAGCCATTGCCATTGCTCGGCAGTTCTTGTATTTTGGGTCCAACATCGTCATCATCATCGCTCAGCTCCTGCTTGACCACCACATTGAGATCGTGTATTTTGAAAGAGGCACGTGAATTTTCCTCCTCATCCGAGGAGGTGGTCATGCCCTGGTTCTGCAGAAACGGCAATATAAACTGTCCGTTCTTTTGTATGAAATCGTTGATGATGCTTGGATCTAGACCCGCATTGCGTCGCCTGCTGCTGTTGTGCTTTTTGGTGCTCTGGGCAAACATGCCCACTTTGTGACTAGCATTCGGATAGGTGGTCTTCTTCAGCGCTATTACCTGCGACTCGACCGAGGTGCTGCTCTCGCGCCGTCCTCGCCCAGCAGCGCTGCTGTATTTGGTGCGTCCGCTGCTGGCCGCAATGAAGTCTCTGCGTCGCTGTGCACGCTTATTGCTGCTGGTTGAGTAGCCGTGTTTGCCATGTTGTCGCGTACGCGAGGCCACCTTGGTTTTCATTTCAGCTATCTTAACGGACACCTGCGAGTCGACTGAGTTGCGTCGCGATTCGACAGATACGTGTCGCACGCTGACGCTTATCTCCGAGTCGAGGGAGTTCTTGCGTCCACCCTGACCCCCCTGGCTGGAAGAGTTTGTGTTGCCGGCCGTGACGCCGGTCAATGCCATGCGACGTTTCACACACTGCGGCAAATAATGCACCCAGGTGGAGCTAATCTCATTCGTTTCCGATGAGTTTAGGTCGTTCACATCAAAATTTAGGCCCACCGGATCGGTGTGCGTATTGTATAGCGTTATGGACAGTCTGCCCTTGTCCTCAAAGTCTTTGCGCTTGGCCCAGGTCTGTGCAATGACTTTGTGCTTGGGCATTTTGACCTCTTCGACAACCTCCTTGCCGCACTTTCTGGAAAACGAATACAAAGAATACTTAATGCCATTATATGACAAGATATTTGACAGTAGTTACTTTTTGATGTAGCGCTTCCAGGTCTCAACGGAGGATGGCGTCCAACACCAGGTGGACATGAGTATTCCAGAGTTGAACAGGCAGAGCAAGTGTAACTGCAGCACGCCCACGCTGGGACGATTCTCAATCTTGCAGGCGCTGTTTTCATCAAAAACCGAGCTGATGCGACAGCTGAAAAATTGGGGAAGATACGTCAGAATTGACAAAATGTAAACGCTCATTTTTTTTGTACTCACATGATATAGTGCCTAAAGCTCTCAGCCCACTCGGCCGAATGGCGAAACTCTGTGACATGGCAAGCAATTGCAACGAGTATAAAAATCAGCGTTAACAGAGCACAGAAACCCATACGCATGATGATCAAATGGATCTTGTTGCTCGCCGACGTGGACTTAATATCATTGGCAAAGTGTTTCAGGCCAAACAGCATGACCATGCCGCGTGTGATGAAATAGCCGCCAATCAATATGACGCCACAGAGCGGTCCGAGCAGTAGACCGGCGCGCATCGGGTGATTGATATAGCCCACGAAACAGATGCCCACAATGCCATTGCCATCGACTTCGCTGAGTGCCATTGTGGTAATGGTGAGAACCAAGGGCAGTGACCAAGCGACCAGATGAAAGTATGAGCCCTTCTTGTCGATGCGATCCTGTACATGACCCATGGCACGCCAATGCCAGGCATAGGTAAGGAACACAAACCACACCATGCCGGCGGTAAGAAAATAATAGACCAGCACAAATATGACAATGCATGACAGATTTTCGCCAGCCGTCGGCTCCGAGTGACGCAGTGTGCCATCCTTGCGACAGACAATGTCCTCGCGCGAGCCAGACGTAAACTGCACCAGCCAGCTGCAAAGCCAAGAAAGTTAGCTAATGAAATCTATAATTATTTTTCGAACTACTCACCCGAAACAGGAGATAAGAAAACATAGATTGATGTAGAAAACTATCACAGCTGGATATTTGTTGGCATTCTGCCAGTCGATGAGAAATGTGGCGACCACAAACAGATTGGACAGCAGACAGAGTGTGCCGCCATAGCCGATCAGCTTGTGTATCTGGCGATGTTCGTCGTTCGTGTATAATGGATCCTTGCACTGCACACCACAGCCCTCAATGCCCGGATAGTAGCTGGCAGCATTATCTGCCGGCACAAGGGGCGGCATACATCTGCCAGTTACATTGAATTTCATTTCGCGTGCATCATTGCTGCATTTCATGGGAAACAGCGTCTCGTTGCAGCGCATAAATTTCGGGAAAAATGTCGTATTATATAGAATGCGGCACGGCTCAAGGGTAATCTTGCACATTTCGTACGAAGGCAGGTAGACCATGTCCTGGCCATTAATTTCCTCGCATTTGGGCTTGAAAACGGCGCATAGAAATGGCTGAAATTACAAGCATTATTTAGGGATTTTGATCATCTAAGTGTGTGTTGGTCATCTGGCTTACCTGTATGACAGCCCAGCACTTGGGCACATGTCGCAGGGCATAGTAACTGCTGAGCGCCTCGTCGAGCTCTTTTTCTTTGCGATAATCGGTTAGGCTGAGACTTGTGAATGCATATGGTAGCTTGGAGCCAAAGCATGTATTGTGCGTGCTATTGACCTCCAGGCAATGTCCACGACGCACACACTGTATATGCCGACTGTCGAGGCCATCAAACCAGGGCTTATCGTCCTTGCCCTTTTTGCCATACAGCCGATAATTCATGGTGCCATTGATGGGCTCCAAATCGACTTGAGTCGAGCTGGCGGGCGTTGTGCTTAATTTATTGTTACTACTAGCATAGCTACCAGACGTCCAGCTGGCCAGCAGGAGGCAACAGAGAGTGAGAGTGGTGCTCCTAAGTAAAAACATGCCAAGATTTGAATTTAATTTTATACCTATATATTTATACTGGTACTGGCTGTGACGCCTTTTGCATACTTACATCTTAATTTTGTAGTGAATGCGTACATTCATGTGATTGCCACAAGCGATATTTTCTTGCTAATAATATAGATTAAGCGAAGCCTTTTGTGAATATTAATTTCCAAATGTTGAGGCGCACAGACGGCGGGCGACACAGTCGCGCCTTGTTCGGCTGCAACGAAATCTCGCAATCAACGCATTTTGCTGCCGTTTTTTTGTGTGCGCAGCCAATGCTGATTGAATAATGCGTTGTCTTTAATAATCTTTAGCAACTATTTAATTCACGAAAAATGCAAGAAACTTAAGTGGAGAATAAAAACCTAAATGCGCCGCGAACAGACGAAAGCAACAAATGAGCGTTTGATTGCAATAGCAGACCACCCACAAAGCCGTCAGCTATCGAGCTATCGAGCTATCGAAAATGTTGCAATCGATTGCAGGCCAGCGAGTCGCGGTAAAGTTATCGATGTTTGGCGTTTTTTACATCCCTGGCCGCAGTTTGGCTTGTGCAAATTTATACACGGGCATTATAAAAAAAGAAGAAGGCTTGATTTAAAATTAAACCTTGTGCATTTGGTTAAACACAACGGGCAATAATTCTAGCCATGGATGCCGCTCCAGCTGTAGCGCCGCACGCTGCAAACGAGTCGAAGCCACAACCACAACCCCCGGCCCCGGCGGCCGCTGCGCCAAACGAAAATGGTGTACAAACAGCAGCAAAAAAATCTGAAACAGCGACAGGCTCCGGTACGTATATGGGTGTGTGTACACACACGCACACACACACACATACGATGTTGTTGTTTGGTTTAGCTTCAATTTGTTTATTTTCGTTTTTTGTATGGTAGAAATGCATTCCAATGTTGAGACTGGCAAAGTGCTAGAGGCGCAGAAAACGAAATTGAAATCCGAAATGAACACGGAAAAGGTATTGATTACAATATGCAGCGCCGATCGGAAAAATAAAAAGACATTCATGTCCTTGCCCAGCAGAAAGGACGTTATTGAAAAAGGTGCGTATCGTTTATGTGTAGTTAATCAAGTTTTTAATTTAGCTTCTTCTAATATATGCCCTCTCATGCCTTTTAATAGCACATAAATATGGCTTGGCTGGCAGTACCATAGTGCTGGAAAGCAATGGCTGTGAGATATGCGAGGATGAAGTGCTCCTGTTTGCAGCCAAGGAGAAGATTTTACTCATGCTGCTCGCCGAAAATGATGAATATGTAATACTACCTCCGCCCTCGCCGCTGAATCGTTCAGAGCGAGCGGGCAGCTCACTGGATCCCAGTTTCGTATCCAATGCCAACGATTCAACAGTGTCCAATGACGAGACTTTATCGTTGGCTAGCGTTACGCCTAGCAATTCAAAGTTATCTACAGCTCCGTTTAAGGAGTTTTCGATACCTTGGAGCAAGGTACCGAACGATATTATGAAGCTGTTACGCAGCAAAACTAGCCTGGGTAAGCGTCTAAATACGTTGGCCAATCTCCTCGTCGATGCATTGCGCGAACGCTCCTCACACATACCCTCGATGGTGTTTCGTGACGTCGCCCAGCAGGCGGCAGAAAAGTATCCCGATTCGTTGCTTGAAAAGGATCGTGAAGGCCAACAGATTGCTACCACGCCACAGTCGCTAATCTCAAAAATGATCAATCGCAACAATGCGCTGAATCGTCCACAGAAACGTGCCAGCTCCGGCACAACAGACTTACACATTACCAGCGGCAGCAAGAAGCGCAAATCGGGCTTTGGCGCTGTGGCAGCCAATGGCAATGCGAAGTCAATGGCGCTAAATCGCGATTTGGAGGAGAAAAAGGAGCTCCTCATTTCCAGTTATCGTGGCAGTGACAAAGTTGAGCCCGCCATTATTGCCGAGTACATGAAGGAATGTTTTCCGCTGCAGCGCGCATTCTTCAACAATAGCGAAAAGATACCAGACATTACGGCCATCAAGGACAACTGGCCGTATATATTCAATAAGGATCTGCTCTATCAGCATTTCGAGCTGCTCATGTCTATTGATCCGCGTGTGTTGGAAAAACGCTTTGCCAGCGAAAGGGAGCGCATGTTCAAATTCTTCAAGACGTCCAAAAACAAGAAAGTCAACGCTTTGGAAGAGAACAATGCGAATATAGTGCGAGGCCTGGCGTACCATTTCAACGAGGATCCCGACTACATTTTCAAGCAGCTACAGAATGGACCCTTGTCAAAAGATGTGCTACAGAACATAAATCCAACAAATGCGCCTTGGGTGGCTCTAGTCAGTGAGTATCCCAGTGATTAGTTAATGAGGCATTTTTTTAATTATCGCATTTCATTTTTCAGATACGCCCACAGCTGCTGGCACAGAGGCCGCCCAGACCGAAGCAATGGTGTACATTGAGGGAAAGATAATGAACACGTTTGCTGCTGCGGATGCTGATTTGCCGGATATCATTGCCCAATTGCTCTGCTACTATTATACCTTTAACATGATGTACCCCAAGGAAGCCAATCAAACACTCGAATTTATTGTCATTTATTTTCTAGAACATACGCCGGAACAGGCGCGCAACTCCAAAAAGAGCATTACTGGCAACAGTAAATACAATCAGCTAATTGCGAAATTGGCCAATGCAAATGGTTGAGTCGAGATGATTGCATTTGGAGCATGCGTCTCATACTGTTTAGTTTACATATTTATTTTGCAGACCCATTCACATATACTCCTTCTAATTCTAAGATGATTTTTACATAAAGTGTGTAGTACTTATGTTGTGTATACATTTCTGATTTGTCCCACAAAAAAAGCAAAAAACTGCATTAATTGTTTTGGGTGTTTCTGAACTTATTGTTCTTATTAACGGGTTGTTTTGGATCTTTCGGTATCCAATTGCTCTTCGGACGTGCGTGGTTTCGTTTTATGTCCAATATTGCAGAATCCAGTGTTCCCAACCGTTTTTCCATAACTGCCCTTGTCAACTTTCTACGTATGAAATTGCGTTCCTTAAAAGTCATATTATCAGGATCTATTTTCATCCCTTTCTTCGGCTTATTTTTGTGGTCTCCTTTACTATTCTTCGTCTTTGATGTGGATGTAGCTTTGTCATCCTCAAATGTTTCCCAGGTGGTCTTTTGCGTGCGGCCGGCTTCGATCACATTTCGCCGATGGTTTTGTTCGCGTTGCTTCAGGATGTCCTTGGCCTGCTGGCTTTTCATGTCAAAGCGATCGGAGCTGCGTTGTTCCTGCTCATCATCCAAAATATCATTCTTCACATGCTTCCATGGCTGGGCCGTTTCTTGGACAGGCGGTGGTTCTCTGTTAGCAAATGCATTCGGCGAAAACTTCTTTTTACCCCAATTCCTAGAGCGATCAGCTATGACTTTTTTGTGCCCCTCAAATTTAGACTCAAGTTTTTTATAATCTGCCTTGAACATTTTCGTAAAAATTGAATCGACCAGCGATGTAAGCAACTGTTAAGAGCTAATATTTGTACGATATTATCTTTATCGATATCTTTTAACTTTTTTTACGATATTTTATAGGATAATGTATATTTTGACAATATTGTTCAGAAATATAAATTTGATTTTGTTTTTGCATCCGACTTTAGACAGAGTTCAATGAAAAATATAAATTTTTTTAAAATAGTTCGTTTTAAGTAATGCTTTTTGATATTAATTTACTGTCGATATTTGGCAAAAGCATCGATAATTGCTATTTACCTGCAGAGCATCGATACTTACTTAACACGTGCAAGCGGCCTGAATTGTCTTCGGCGAAAACTTCTTTTTACCCCAATTTCGAGAGCGATCAACTTTCGTATTTTTTAAGTTAAGATTGAAGATTTTAAAATCTGCTTTGGACATTTCGTTGACGTTAATATTTTTCCGATAATATCTATATCGATATATTTACTCATGATATTTTATATGATACAGTATATTTGGCCAATATTGTTGATAGATTCAAATTTGTATTTTGTTATATCCAACATTAGACAGAGTTTAGAGAAACAAAATATTTAAATTTAAAATCGTTAATTTTAAGTGATGTTTTTGTTTATTAATATACAATCGATATTTCGCTAAAGTATCGATTATTGCTATTTACCTGCTGAGCATCGATACTTATTTAGCACGTGCAAGCGTCCTGTGTTGTCTTTTAAGCAACGGTTTGAGATGCGAAACGACAGAGGAAGACGTTCCGGCGGTAATCAGCACAACTCCGGTCGAAACGATTACCATTATGTGAATAATAGTGGTGACCAGTGGAATGGGCAGAATCAAAATAATAGCTTTAACCCTGATGGTCGTGGACGAGGAAATAACGCTGATTCGTTCACAAAGTTCCGAGATCAAAACCAACCACAAGAGGTTCGTAATCAGCACCAGGGCCGCGGCGGCGGTCGCAGAAACCAGACTCCCAAAAACAACGCAGACACCCGTCGTTATGCCGACTTTATAAGAGATGTTAGGACTGATTCAAGAGGTAGAGGTGGTAGAGGAGGACGTGGAGGAGGGAGAAGCGAAAGGAATTCCGGTCGTGGTAGACGACATAATGAAGAACCAGTGGGACACTGGTACCAGGACAACACTCCAGATGACATATATAATTTTACCAATGGCCAACTGGGCAATGAAAACAACGGAACGCTTCAAATAGAACCACCAATAGCACCGCCTACTCCAGAAGTGCCCACTGAGCCTACTCCGACATTTGCAGCTACTGCTGAGACGGCAAAGCCAGTTGCACTCATCAATGCGGCGAACATTAAGAAGGAAAAGAAAGACTCTTTGCCCAAGCAGTCCACACCGAAGCCTGAGGAAAGCAGCGATGATAGCTCTTCCAGCAGCTCCGATGACAATGTTGAAGCCGGTGAGCTGGTCAAATCGACACAAGCTAAGAAAACTGAGGCGGCTGTGACGCAGAAGACTAAGGTTATAGTCGAGCCTGTCGCTAAACCCGCTGATTCATCTTCTTCCTCTGACGAGGAATCTAGTGATGAAAGCTCAGCGCCAGTTAAGGCCAAAACGCCAGTCAAAGAGACCACAGCGAAGTCTAAATCCAAGCCTGTGGTATCCGAAGATGAAGTCGTCTGCATGGGCACCAAAAGCCGCAAATACACAATACCCGATGAGGATGACAATGATGAGGACGAAGCCGAGGAAAGCAGCAAGGATGACGACAATATCGAGCAGATGACTGGCAAAGACAAGGACAAAGCGATCCATGTCTGCGGCATATGCGACAAAAAGGTAAGTGCATGACATTTGGCATTCGATCATGGCACGAATCTTAATCTTTGTTTCTTCCCAGGGTCACACTTCATTCGAGTGTCAGATGATATGCAGGAACTGTTCAGCATCCTATCACAGCCTCAAGAATTGCCCGAATCCACCTAATTTAAATATTGCTCTTCAGGCTTTCATGGAGTTTAGCATGCAACAATTGGCTGTATTCAATATGGATAAACGATTTGCGTTTCCCGCTGGTGTGGTGTCAGCGCCAGTGATGCAGCCTGCACCGGTAGAAAATCCTGCCACCGCAAAGTCCAAAAAAGATAAGCGTACGGCTAATAAAAAAACAAAGAAGAGACAGAAAAAGAAAATTAAAATTGAAACTCACGAAAGTGACGATGATGACGACGATGACGATGATGATGAGGATGAAGCCGAGGCATCACCCAGCAGTGAAAGCGAGTCAAGTGAATCTAGTGTTGACCAAAAGCCTGCTGTGGGCAAAACAAAAAGGAAACGGAGCTCCAAACAGCCGGCCACAAATATGCCACCAGCAGCGACATTTCCCTTTCCTTTGCTGGCTGCCGCCGGAGCGCCATACAACTCACTGATGTATCCTTATGGCGCGCAATTCAATTTTCCCAAATAAGTTTAAATTTGTTCAAGTACATACATGAATAGATAAGCATAAAAATAATTTTAATATAAAGCTCATGGCAAATCAAATTTGTGGAGATCATCACGTGTTTTCTACGATTTTTTCAGAATCATTGTCTTTAAAACAGTCATTGATGTGTAATAAAACAGTATATGTACATTGTTAAATATAAGTTTTTTTGTTAAACAATAAAACAATCATTCAGAGATATGTTTTATGTGTGATAACAGAAAACATTTGCTAAACTGCTAAAATTTCAAATAACAGAATAGGAATTGTGTGGATTTCTCTCAAATTGACTATTGTGAATGCTCAACCGCTACTTCAGCCCTGGCCCATTGCACAACCGTTTGTCATATTCAATTTTTGCTTGAGAAAAGATTTGGTCAAAATTTGTGAGACAAGACAAGCACGTGTCAACAATTACTGTTTGTCTTATCACAGCTTAATACGTCTCTTGTGACAATCGTTACATTTTATATTTACTTAGCTGTTTACAGTTGACAGTTGAACTGAGTTACAAATCGCAGCAAGGTGGCGGTTGTCTGATTTTCTTGTGACTGTCTAGATGCCTATTGTGAATGCCAAGCTATAAGCAATTGTAGCCCTGGCACAGTGCACAGCTGTTGCTTGCCATGCCGTAGCTTGTTAAATGTTTACAACTATTGTGTGATTAGTGAAATAAATAAAGTGCAATTACTTGTGAAATAACAACACGCGGCATATTCGTTGCACACAGTAAGTATATTATATACATTTTTTACATTAAATTTGTGCACTACACACGACTAGACCTGTGGATTCTGCTCATACATGTGGAATGACTGGGAATGGGTATATTGTGAGGGGGGGGGCGACAACTAGCTGGCACAGTAAGCGCGCTGCTCGCGTTCGCGGTCTGTGCCACAGCTGGTCGGATGGGTCATGCCCCGCGGCTCGATGCCCGGCTTGAGCAGCGACTGCTGCAGGCCCCAAATTATTTCATTGGCCACCACGCTCACGGCCAGCATAAGGGCCGTCTCATAGTTGAGCGGGTTTACAGCGAAGCTCAGTATGCCAACGGCAATTTGATTGTACAAAAAGTCTTTGTCCAGCTCTAACAGCTCCTCGCGCACCTCCATAATGCGATTCTCATAGTGACACTGTATGGCCGCAAACACCTGCTTATCGAGGCCAACGAGCAGCTCCCGCTTAAATTTGACCAAATAGTGTTCAATGAAGACGATCTCATTGCGATTCATATGCGGCAGTCGCATCTTCTCTTGTATCACTTGCTCGCCAATCTGGCTAACCACCAGCGATGTTAGCGAACCCGCCGGCGTTGGTCGACGTTCCGAGCAGGGACGAACGTCGACAAACGGATGTATCTCATAGCTGCCCATGCCAATGGTGCAGGCAACTCCGCTAAAGGATACATGCGACACGCGCGAATGATTTTTGGGCGAAAGTCCAGACTTCACCGGTGACGGCGGCAGCTCCATGACCTTGTTATCGCGCGCAAAGCCAATAATCTGTATCGCTTTCTGCAAAGGAGAGGAATAGGATCAAATCGATTATTATAACCATCCGCATAAGTTAGATACCCTTGCAGAGGGTATTATAATTTTGTCTCGAAATGTGTAACGCATGGATCAGTATCAACACACCCGAGTCGATATAGCCATGTCCGTCTGTCTGTTTCTATGCGAACTAGTCTCTCTGTTGCACGCGGTATATATGTCGAAACCGGCTGGATCGGATCACTGTATCATACAGCTGCCATAGGAACGATCGGTCGAAAAGTAGGTTCTTGTATGAAAAACTTTTTTGTTTATCAAGATATCTTGACCAAACTCCGGATTTATGAGTTTTACAATGCTCCTCATATATATGTTAAATCCTATCATTATCGGACCACTATATCATATAGCTGCCATAGGAACGATCGGTCGAAAAGTAGGTTCATGTATGAACAACTTTTTTGCTTATCAATATATCTTGACCAAAATCCGCATTTATTAGTTATACCATTTTCCCCATATATATGTTAAGTCCTATCAATATCGGACCACTATATCATATAGCTGTCATAGGAACGATCGATCGAAAATTAAGTTGTATGGAAAACTTTGTTTTTATAGATATCTTAACCATGCTCGGCATTAACTACTTTCCCTGTGCTTCTTAGAGACGGGCAAAGCATTATGAGTATTATGAAAAGTTGGTGTGTGCAAGGGTATTAAATATTCGGCGTGCCGAAGATTGACCTTCATTCTCGTTTTTCATATGATCCACTTTAAATTCGATTCCAAAGACAAAATGAAAAAAAGCTAGTACTTACATAGTTAACATATTTCTTGGCATCGCATATAAAGTTCATGATGCGACTGGTCAAAACGCTGAGTGCACACTCATCCTCGCTGAGATCCATATTGAAGCCGAGCAATATGTGATTGAGTATATATTGGGCGGCCTTATAAATGGGATCGTCTGGGGCAAAGGTCAGCGGCGAATGTCCATCGAGGGCAATGGCCGCATTCAGGGCATAGCACAGTTGGCTATCCAGGAGCCCATCAAAGCTGGTCTGGTATTCGTCACAGAACGAGGGCTGTACGCGTTTAATGACCTTCTTCTTCTTCCTCTTCTTCTTGGCGCGCTTGGGCTTGCGCGCTTGGTTAGCCTGACGGGAGCGTTCCTTGATCTGCTTTTGTATGGCCAGCCACTTCTCGCGATACTTCTCCTTGTGACTCTCAATGAAATATTCCCGCTCCTGTTGCATCTCCATCAGGAGCAGCTCAATGCGTCGCTGATTGGCGATGCGTTCGTTGAGGCGCTTGTGCCAGGATTGGATTTGACCCTCGGTGTGCTTCATTAGCCGCTGCTTATGCAGATTGCGCATATTCTTGTTGTAGCGATCCTTCTTGAATTGGAACAACTTCTTCAGCTTGATCAGATGCTTGCGCTGCAGATCCTGATGCAGGCTAATGTGCGCCTGCACCCGCATATTTGTCAACATTTTGCGATGATCGAGCAACATTTGCTGCATGGCCGTCATGCTCTCCATCCGTTTGAATTTCTCCTCGGTTATGTTGTACAGACGCAGCTTGCGCTCGTGCCGCTCATCGTCCAGGCGTTGTTTGCGCAACATAACCTCCTCCTGACTCTGATGCCGGAGAACCGATTGCAAATTATCTCGCCTCGATATGCTCTCCGCATTGGCAATCAAGAGACGATCATGTCGCTCCGCCTCGCGTTGTCTGTACGCCTGGAGCACATAGTATAGCTGCGACTTGTGCAGATCCTCGCGATATTGATTAAAGTCCTTTAGATTACAAATAACCTCATTCTCATCAGTAATTTCCCCATTCTCGCGCAGACGCTTCAAATTCCGTTCGTTTGAATAGAAAGTCTTTAAATTTGAATCGTGCAACGGATTATATTCTGGTATGTGTACTGTTACAGATGAATCAAATTCCTGCATGCTACATTTAAACTGGATTTGAGAAAGGATTTCGTTAGATTATAATTCACGTAATATTCTTTTTCCCACGTTTATTTTTGTGCATTAGATTTAGAGGTATAACTATTATAGATATTTAGATATACAAAGAGCCAAACCTCGTGGAAATCGGTTGAGTTTTGACCGAGTTAGGAGTTAGGTGGGAAATTATGATCTGTGTTTATATAGGGTATTTGAGGGTACCATATCTACATGAATTTGGACTCAAAATGATGTTCCCAGATTTAAATGCCAAATTGATCTAGAGGTCAAACCGTGAACAAAAAGCTAAACCTTCTAAATTTCGGTGGAGTTTTGACCGAGTTATGGGGGTGGGAAATTATGACCTATGTTAACATGGGATATTTGAGGGTCCCGTTTTCACATGAATTTGGACCAAAAATAATGTGCCCAGATTTAAATGCCAAATTGATCTAGAGGTCAAACCGTGAACAAAAAGCCAAACCTTTTGAAAATCAGTTGATTTTTGACCGAGTTATGGGGGTGGGATATTTGGATCTATGTATATAGGATAGGATATTTGATGGTACCATTTTTACATGAATTTGGACCAAAAATTATGTTCTCATATTTAAATGCCAAATTGATCTAGAGGTCAAACCGTGAACAAAAAGCCAAACCCTTTGAAAATCGGTTAAGTTTTGACCGAGTTATGGGGGTGGGAAATTATGACCTATGTTAACATGGGATATTTGAGGGTCCCGTTTTCACATGAATTTGGACCAAAAATAATGTGCCCAGATTTAAATGCCAAATTGATCTAGAGGTCAAACCGTGAACAAAAAGCCAAACCCTTTGAAAATCGGTTAAGTTTTGACCGAGTTATGGGGGTGGGAAATTTGGATCAATATATATAGGATAGGATATTTGATGGTACCATTTTTACATGAATTTGGACCAAAAATTATGTTCTCATATTTAAATGCCAAATTGATCTAGAGGTCAAACCGTGAACAAAAAGCCAAACCCTTTGAAAATCGGTTAACTTTTGACCGAGTTATGGGGTTGGGAAATTTGGATCAATGTATATAGGATAGGATATTTGATGGTACCATTTTTACATAAATTTGGACCAAAAATAATGTGCCCAGATTTAAATGCCAAATTGATCTAGAGGTCAAACTGTGAACAAAAAGCCAAACCTTATAAAAATCGGTTGAGTTTTGACCGAGTTATGGGGGTGGGATATTTGGATCAATGTATATAGCATAGGATATTTGATGGTACCATTTTTACATAAATTTGGACCAAAAATAATGTGCCCAGATTTAAATGCCAAATTGATCTAGAGGTCAAACCGTGAACAAAAAGCCAAACCTTTTGAAAATTGGATGAGTTTTGTCCGAGTTATGGGGGTGGGAAATTTTGACTTATGTCTACACAGAATATTTGGGTATCCTTTTTCACTTGAATATGTCTATATGGGATACTTGAGGGTACAGTTTTCACTTGAATTTTGACCAAAAAAATGTTACCAGATTTTGATGCCAAATTAATCTAGAGGTTAGCAAAAAGACAAACCTTATAAAACTCGAATAAGTTTTGACCGAGTTATGGGGGTGGGAAATTTTGACCTATGTCTATATAGGATATTTGAGGGTACCATTTTCAATAGACATTTGACCAAAAATTTGGACCAAAAAAAATGTTACCAGATTTTGATGCCAAATTAATCTAGAGGTTAAACCATGAACAAATAGCCAAACCTTATAAAAATAAGTTGAGTTTTGACCGAGTTATAGAGGTGGGAAATTCCGACCTATGTATATATAGGATAATTATGTCTTGTATCTTGTATCTTACCGTATTTCCGATTTTATCCTTTGAGAATATCACCTGGTTACCCGGACACTTGAGCATGGGTAACTTGCAATTCAGCGGTATTAACTCCCAGCCGGGCAAACTGTTGATAGGCAGCCCAGTCTTATAGCTGGGCTGTTTGCTGTTGACCCCTCCGGTCACATTGTTGCGGCGCGGCAAAGATAATATATCGATCATGTTTGCTCATATATGTTTCTAACAAGCAAAGATATCTTTTAGTTTTGGTCTGAGCGAAAACCAATTGAATTTTGAGGTTTTTCGATTCCTACAAACATTCATTCGAAAGAAGCTACAAATATATTTATTTAAATGTTTTAGTTATTTTTTTGTTATTGGTTGACATACCTAACATACAAAAACGTAGAAAGAAGTAACTGTCTGCTATTTATATTTTATTCAGCCGCTTGAATCAATGTGC